CACTTCTCGACTTGTTTTTTTTTTTTAAAAAAACCTGACAGGTACTATTTACTTTGTATGAAGTTTTTCAGAAGCGGTTATCTTTACTTTCTAGGATTTTTTTTTTAGCTTGGTAGTACAGATAGCCCATGCCCCTTGGATCTAACTTTTGGAGATTTTTGAATTGACTTGTTGCTTCCAGAAATGAGACCATGACATCTCAGTTTAGGATACATTTCTTTGGCTAACAGTCATAAAAATAGCTCATATTTTTGAGTCTTTGTGTGTAAGAATCCATAATTATTTAATTTGTCGCTTCGGATATTTTACAGAAACTATTCTGTGTACTTGTAAAACGATGGTTAGTTCTTGCTTTGGAAAATTTTGTGGCCAGTGATTGCTTCCTGTTATGCTGTTTGAAAAGTAATGCTTAAAATGCATTGAAAAGAGTAGTTTTTAAAAACAAATTGTATATTGTCCTATCTTGTTTGATCTATTCTCGTACTTCAGTTCACAGTTTGGGATTGATGCTCACTGGGACTTCCTATGTGTTCAGAGGTCAACCTCTACACATGCATTAATGTTTTATTCAATGTTCTGTAAGCCGACAGTAAATAATAGGCCTCAGTAGTACCTTCATCTGTGTATTTATCACATATGTTTCCATGTTAGTTTTCAGGCCTTCTTGCAATCGACTGAAAGACAAGCACCTTCCAAAGGTAGAATAAGAAATCACGACCTTCCAGCAAATAGTGCATTCATCTGGTTTTGCGAGAGGACTAATGATAAATATTCAGATAATCATGATTGAATTAAAGCTCTTATTTATTCACATAGTTTGATAAAAGGTATCTTAAGATTCACGGTACTATAACTCAAACTGTTACCCTGAGCTTTTTTTCCACTTGCCTGCTTATGAGGCTTGATGAGTGCTGAAAATGTGCTTTTACTAACAGCTGAGTTTTATCTCCTTCCAAGGTATTTTAAGAACTTTAGAGATTGTTGTGACAACTTATAAGTGGGATGGAATGTCATAGAGTAAATTTCTGTTAAACTTAGGTAACTGTGAGGTCTGTGTTCAGACTGAATTGATGTCTAAATCATGAAAGTGTGTATTACAGTGCACAGCTCTGCACTGTACCCATCTCGATAGTCTTTGAAAGAAGGGAAAATCTGAACCATTTACCTTCCTTGCTAAGCCACTGTAGTTACCATTTGTTCAGCTGCTACTTTCCTTGAGAGTTTTCTACTTTATCTAGAATATTGGGTGGTTTTCCTAGATGAATCCCTATCAGTTGTTCAAAGTACGTCGTGCCTCCAGCTAATCTTATTTTTGGTTTCTAGGCGTAGTTGTTGATGGAGTTCATTGAAGCATCTCTCCGGATGGATTTACTACCTGCCTCATTCAGATATGGATACCGTTACTGACATCTGAAAAAGAGGCTTTAATCAGTTAATTGCTCTTAGAAGCATAGGGACAAATGGAAGAAATAGTATTCTATATAAACATTAGAGGGAAATATCTTAGGGAAGCCTTCTAGAACATCAAAAAAGTCCAAATACTGTGTTTTAAACTACTTAGCGTCAAACCGTGGATTAATGTTCATGAAGCTGCTGTTGCAAGATCTTTCCATTAGCTTTATTTCATTTCCTGTCTCGTTACAATGAGCTTTACTGTGGGATCACAGGCTGAAGAGTGAATCAACAGGAACATTAACACCTTTTTGCTGTTTTAGAGTATCTGTTCTGGGCTTTTGGTTTCTCCTGAAGCTCTCAGGCTCTGCAAAAGTGAGTTATGGCGGCTCTAGCAGAGTCTTGTTCCAATATTTCTGCAGGTTTGGTAGAAGTCAAATGGCTGGCTGATAGGAATAAGGCCAGAGATAAGGGATCCAAGTTAAGCAGGGACATTGTGTTCTTAAAACATGTGGACTATGAACAAGTACCTTAATTTTTTTTAGATTTCCCAAATCCAAATTATGACCTTCCCTTTTATCCCTGCATGTGCCTGCCATTTTTCTACCTCTTTATCCTTTTAATATTAATACATAGGAGGAATGCATCACAAACATCTTTGCTGAATTTGTCTATGCTTGACTCTGGAAATAACAAACCAGTCCAGGATCTATGTTAGTGTGCTATCTCTGTGTCTCCTGCGGCAATAGAAGGATGTGGTCTTTGTCCTTAATGTTTAACAGTAGTTTATTAATGCACAATTTCATCTTTATCAGGTCTATGGGTTCTCCTCACTTGAAACTTTTTGTAATTTTATAGTTTGCCATTTAGCTACTTAATGTTCAATTTTACTTGGTGCTAGTTCTCTCTTTTTAAAGAAAGAAACAGAAAATGCTGTAATAGGATGTCTAGCTCTGGAAAACCTAATCTGAAACACAACCGTATTTTAAAGGTCTAGAAAAGGATGTTATTATTTCAAAAACTTACTATATGTAAAATCTGAACTTAATTTTTTATCTTCACTAATTATAAAGCTTAGTTAGGAATTTCTATGTTAAACACATAGAAAAACTATGGATTATAGTCTCAACGTGTTTCATTTTCACTCTTTAACATAGCTATAACATCTGTTCCAAGTGCAGAGTGTTAATGTGAAAGAAAATAGCAGTTCTTTTCTTTGGAAGAGAAGCACCTTCAGAATTTAGGGTTCTTTTGGATTTTGTAAAAATTCCTTTTTTTTTTTTTTAAGTTGTTTAGGACATGACTGAACATTTCTGGATACGAGGAAAAGATTATTTATCGCAGTATTTAATAATCAGAGAAGGTGTGATCTGTACAGGGAAGATCCATCTCAGAGCAGGTTTTCAGGACTTTGTAGTGAAAATGGAAGGGAATATTTTTGTATTTCTAAATCAACATCTAGCTTATTAAAAACTATTAAAAAAAAAAGAAAAAGTGTTGCTGACATTGTTTAGTTAGTAATTAGATCCATACTTACCAAGACTTACATCAGAGGAGTCTCCTGGTATTCCCCAGACAGTTCCATGTCTGAAAAGCTTGCTGAATGGCTTTCTAAGCTTGTTAGAAAATAATCAGTTGAAAGGATTGGTTTAGTCTTGATTCTTGGTTTGAGGGGTTTTTTTCCCTTGGTTGGCAGGGGGGCTTGGCGGTCTTAAATCATCCAAGAATAGGTATTTTTCGGTAATGGTACTCCTTCAGATAATTATGAAATGAAGCCTAGCATATACCCAAGTTAGTAGTGGTCGGTAACAGTGTGTAAGTAAAGCCTTTCTCACAGCAAGGGGACAGATGCTACTGGCCAGTTCTCTTTGCCCCAGCACTCTGAAACGTATTTCCCAGCTTAGTCCCTAAAAACTAGCCATGTGGGTAGTCTGGGCCAACGTGCCTCAGGAAGAGTGACCATTAGCTGGTCACTGTACGATATGAGAAGGATTATACAAGTTAAAGGATAATATGTGAGCAATACCAAATTGATGTAAATTAGTCAGGAATAGGTTTATACAAGGAATTAGAAAAGGTTTCTAAACATCAGGAATAATTTGCCCTTCAGATAAAACAGATAAACAGGAGGGCAAAGAACCTGGCTGCCTTTGCTAAGGTTGTGGAATGAATGGTTTAAAGAAAACAGCAATGATTTGGTTTCAAATGTAAGGCATTCTAAGAAGTAATTTCTGCCTTATGTAAGTGGAAAACATTTGGAGTGTGTGTTAAAGGTACTCTTCTGTCTTACTGTCTGTTGTGGGGCTGCTTGCACTTCCCTTAGTGGCCTTTTTCAGTCCTATGTACCTAAATTGCATTTAGCTACTGTGTTTCTGGGTTTTGTTTGGTTCCCCCCCGCCCCCCCTTGCCTTTGATTTAGGAACTCAGCTTTTGGGGCATTTTGTTCAGGGATCTGTTTACCTGAGTAACTATTTCTGTCCCCGTCAGCAGTGGGGTACATTTTAACTTCACGCTCCTTTTTGTGCCTAGAGAAGGCTTCAGTATATTGCCTGGCTTTAGGAGAGACCTTTTCTAACTAGACAGAGTGTTACTTAATTGACAATATTTCTATCTTAGCTCACTGAATCTAGAAAAATGACTGTGTATGTTACATATACAGAGAGAATTCTATCTCAATGTCCAAGTCATTTTACCTGTTGTAGTTTTGCTCAGATCCGTATGCAATATGGGAGCCCTTAGTTAAATGGTTTTCATCTTTGAGATTCACATGGTTTATAAACTTAAGTGATAATCTGTGCGGATGCGAGGTAGGAATCTGGTTGCTGTCTGGGCTCTTTGCGTGATTCAGATTTAGACTGAAAGTGTTTGGTGACCTCTGCTGTGATTCAGGTGCTACTGGTGTAATCTAAAATATGTTCAAAGGGGTTCCCTTTGAACATATTTTGATCTTGATACTGTATAAAGAATTCAAAATGATTGAGACACAAGGTACGCTTTTGGCAAAATGTCTTTTAGGCTTGAAGTGATCCTGTTTAGCTACGATTCAGCTGCCTTCCTGCATATGAAACTTTTCTGGGCTTTCTTCATGTTCATATATGATCATTTCTCAGTGTTCAAAACTCAGATGGCTCTCAGCCCCCATGCTTGTGCTTGATGATGGAATTATTTTACAACAGTGACTCAGAAGAAATCACTGCCAAAGATAACAACCATCATGATAGTGATAGTCATGTCCCTAGGTGTTAGGGAGATGCATGAGGTTCCCTTTCCCATTGACGTCAAACTGCAGACTCGTTTCCTTTAATTGAAATTTGGGATCTTCTGGTATCCTGAAAGACCTCATTCCGGATATTAGTACTGTGGCACTACAGTTTTAGAAAAAAGTGGTATCCTTCTATCATAACAGCAAGTAAAACCTGCGCAGGAACACACAGTGTAAAAAGGTTCTTATGAATAAAGTGTTCATCTTACTCTTTTGTTCTGTCTTCATCTTTCTGTTAAGGACTTCATCTTCTTTACCTAGCAGGATACAGATATTTTTTTTTTAAAACTACACTGAAAAGTTCTCTTCCATCTGAATTTTCCTCTAAAAATAATTCTATTTCCAGGTTGCTGTATTTACTTCAGCAAGAAACCTCCAGCACAGAACTGAGAACAGAATGTGCGGTAGTCCTCGGAAGCCTTGCAATGGGTACAGAGAATAATGTCAAATCCCTACTAGACTGCCATATTATCCCAGCCTTATTGCAAGGTACTTTTTCCTTAATGGATCTTTGTTAGTAAATATTCCTAAAGTAGGCAAATAAGCAAAGATAATGAAACTGAATAGTAGATTTTGTCTATATTTATAGGATTACTGTCGCCAGATTTGAAGTTTATTGAAGCTTGCCTGCGATGTCTCCGTACCATTTTCATCAGCCCTGTAACTCCAGAGGAACTACTATATACAGTAAGTTGTAAGCAGATTATTATGTCCTTTTAAAACCTGTAGAGTTGGTGGGAGTGAAAGGTCTTGTCTGCAGTAGTAATGAGGATGTGTTTGACCAACAGTGTTAGCATTTCTGACCTACATTTAAGACATCTGGCTCACCTAACTTTTATAGCAATATTTGATATGAGATGGTTGACAAGGTAGCACACTGATAAAGAAAAACCCTAAAATTTTCAGGCTTGCTTGCAGTCTTCAGAAATAAAAACTGTCTCTAAATGGTATTTACAGCTATACTGGCAAACTTTGGTTTCTGAAACTTAAAGTTTTATCTGACACTGTCCTCCCACTCCAGATGTGAGGGTGCTTGCTTAACTTTCGCACTTCACGTGGAAGACATTCACCTCCAAAATTTCTCTGCTTTTAGTTAATATACGTGTGGTTTACATTTAACTGACAGGAGGATAGAATATGTCCCCCCTACCACTGCTATAATCTTGAGTTCAGCTTGGAGCATGGGAGCAATAAGGCTATTGGTGCTGACCTTGTTGAGGTGACTGGGCAGAACCATTGAAGCGGAGCCCCGTCGAAAGGTAGTGCTGCCTCTTGGCAGTGTAGGCACAAAAGGCCTTGCCCAAAGTCAGTGGCTGTCTTCTGGAAGGAAGGGAAAGAAGGATTTGCACTCTTCCGTCTTCCTTTGTCTCAGTGTAAGAGATGAAGAAGGCTGTGGCTTGAAAACTGTTCTATAGAAGCAATCTCTTTCTCCTAGGAAGAGGGTAGCAGTCTTGCACCAGTCTTGATGGAGGTCACTGAGCAGATCCAGCTTCTGAGTGTAATTGGCAGTCCACAATGCCAAGCATCTCACCACTCAAAGGGGTGACTGTTGCTTGCTGAGGAAGACGTGATACTTGCAGAGAAGGACACAGCTGGCCTTTGATTTCATACTTTCTCTATGGTTCGGGGGTCTCTGTTGTGACCAGAAACTATTGCTGTGTGTTACTAGTCCTCAACAGACTTTCTTCATGATTTTTTTTTGTCTAGTTGTTATGCAGTGCTGTCATGTCTGTTTTTTTCTCTGTTGTTCTTCTAATGCTTCCTTACATTTACATAGCTATTGCCACTCTAGAACGAAAACTTGTTTTCCATGAACTCAATTTTACCATATGCCTATTCTGAATTTCATCTTCTAATTAGTCCATCTCATGAAGTCTTTCTGCAGCTTTTCACAGCTTACCCTTGTATTTAGTGTGTGTAGGTAATCAGCCAGCTTTGTCCTCCACTGTTCACTACCTTTTTGTTCCCAATTGATTTTTGATTGTTCAGCAAGGAAACCCTCAATGCAGATGGTATGTGTGGCCACTGAAGGCATGTCTCCTGAGTGATCTGAGAATTTCCTCTTTGTGTCTCCCTTCCTTCCTTTGCCTCCACTTCATGATCCCAGGTTTCCCCAAGTTGGCGTCTAAGAGTTCATAATTACAGGGGCATCTGCTTCCTGCTCTCAACATCCAAAGCCGAGGCTCCATTAACAATCCATACCTCTTCCTGGGGAGGAGCGCTCAATAGAGACTGCTAATTGCTCCCTATTTGTAAGAGAGGTTTGATATCTTGAAGGGAGACGAAGTGGAAGAGTATGAGCAGAATTGTGAAAGAACCAGTATTGGCATAAATTACCACTAACATTGTGGGTGAAATATGCTTAAGATACTGGACTTTCTATTTCATCCTTTGCTTTATTGCACAACAGTGACATCAGAACTCAGCCACCCCCGTTCCTTATTCAGGCAAACATGATGTCCTTAATTAACCATAGCTACAGGAAAGGATCATCTGGTGAGGATGCCCTTGTTCTTTAGGTTCAACTGTGTAATACCCATTTTCCAATCTCCCATTCCAGTTGGGTGCCTGAAAGTTAAATATTTTATGACTGCTTAAGGTTATATTTCTGCAAATCAGCTGCTTTTTTGCTTCTGTTGTGGGAATACCCGAACCTGTGTTTTGAAAATAACGAATGCAGATCCTTCAAAAAGAAGAGACAATATTCTTATCTCTTGGTATAGCCACAACCCCACTGCTGCAATCTGTTTCACAAGGCAGCAGTTGAGAAGTTGTTTTTGCAATTAAAGAAGTAATTATGGACGTCATCAACAGTTTATGGCAGGCACTGCTTTTCTGACATTGAGAATAACAGGAAGAACTTAAAGTTCTTGTTTAGCCACCCTGCTCCCTCTTTGTTTCTGATCACAACAGCTCCAGGGAGACTGTCATCATTCCAGATAGCTTCAGATCTTGAATGAATGAAAGGGCTTATTCAGCAGCCTCTCCAGTTCTGCCTTTAACAGGCCCTATTTGGAAACGTAAGAGACTAAGTTTGTCAATGGCTTTTCATTCTTGTCCAGCAATTCTGGAGAAGACTTCTGAAAAGTTGGTTCCCGAGTTGTATCTAAGATAGCAACTTTTCCCAGAATTTCTTTTCTGTCAAACCTTGGCCAAGACTATTCCCAAGACAACATGATATGGCTCAGCTCAATGTCTCCAAGGATGTTATAGTCATTCTAGAGGTTTCAGGATACCTCTCCCTTAAGATCCGGGATACACAAGTGCTTTAAAGATAGCTATTTAAAGGGCCTTGAAAATATTTCTTTTTGTTTGTAATAGGTTTGAAAGGGAATAAACATGAAATCTCATTTAAAAAACAGAAACAAAACCAACCAAAAAAGTAATGCCTTACTCCATTCCTTCTGTTTGTGACCTCCGAGCCCATGCAGCAAGGCTAAATGTTCTCTAATCTGAACTGTTTCCTAAAATTGAGAATTGTAAAATGATGAATTCTAGCTTAGAGAGCTTGAATTTAAGTTATTTGGTTGAATGTAAGAATTTCAGTTTTCTGATTTGGAAAAAAGAGTAATAATCATCTATTACAAAGAAATGCTTTAAGAATAGATGTCACATTTTGTTGTAATGTATTGGGATGCAAGCAGGTAAATGCAACTCTGTTAATTCTCTTTCTGAATTCTCTAATTCTGTTTGGATGGGCAGTAGTTTTGTTACAGGTCATGTGATGCATAGATATTTGTCACGAGTTGCCAGGAACTAGTCTTTGTTAGCAGACACTTTAAGGGATTTGTATATCTCATAGTTTTAACTGCAAATTATGAATGTAGACTCAATGTTGTTTACTAGGGTTGCTGGAAAGATCCTTTGTTACTTAATATGAAAAGAAAAAAGGAATTATATAGCCTCATTGTCACATAATTACTATTTGCATTTATTTGGAAGTCACTAATGTCTACATCTTTTTACTCTTTCTAGATTCTTTTCTGATAAATATACCAAAATTATGATAGAATTTGGATATATTTTAGCAGAATCAAGGGGCAAAATTAACATGATTTTGTCACAAGTATTTAAGGAAGCACTCTTGCAACTTTTCAAGAGATTTTAACCTTTCCATACCCCAACATTTCTGATTTGATGGAACAAAATGAGAAATTGTATAAAAGATATCTCTAAAGAATCGCTTCTCAAAAGTATCCTTTTATAGTCCAGAATAACTAATAATACAGTTCTTTATTGGTAGAATTTCAGGGCACCCTTCCTCTTGTTGATTGCAAGGATTCTTTAACCCTCGTATCATATATATATACATCATCATTGCTGGGGTCACAGTGACACTAAAAGTGCCCTGTCAGTGTTTGGTATCGGAACAGCCCGGTCTCATAAATGCTAAATTAAAAGGCCTTTTGTCATCCAAAGTGAAAACCTTCCTATCCCAGGAACTTAACCTTGGGCCATGATGCCACACTGGTCAGTAAAATGTTATCTTATGCAAATTGCTGTATGTCATTCTATTCCCATTTCTATAACTCTATAGTAGAGCTTCCAAACTGTTAGAGGCTCAATTTCTGTCTACTTATGTCTTTATCAAAACTCTCCAGTCTATCAAACTGCAGCCAAAAATACTCGTGTGATCAAGCCTGTTGAAGTTTTAGGTGAAACTGAACTATTGCATGGTGATGTCACTGGCTAGGATGTGAAATAAAAGTTTGTTAGTTCCTTCCCTGATGTTAGATACAGGTAGAGAGATGTTATGCGTTCACCTGTGCTGAATAAGAGAGTTTAACTGCATATTTTATTCAAAGATGAAAGCAATAGATTTGTATTCATAGTTTGGTAGATAAAACCAAGGATATGGGAGGATATGTTCTGGTGGAATCTGTGAAAGATAGCATCAGAAATCTTCTGTGCTTCCCTAGCTTCAGGTTGATTTCCAGTGACTCCTGATACAAGGCTTGCTGCCTTGCACTTTTTATAGATTTCAAGTGCTTTCTTTGTTAATGAAGAATAATCTAAATGTTATTCTTGTGATTTTCATAAGCAGTTCACCAGTTCAAGTTTAAAAATAGACCCGAGATGCAAAACCTTTCTACCAGCTTGAGGGAAGGAGAGAAAGTCCTATAGCCTTTTGTAGGACCATTTCTGAGTTGGCAGCATTATTCAGTATCCAGATGTGCATTGGTCATCTGGTGGTGGTGAGGTCATGAGTGCAAGTTGTATTCATTGCCTGACAGCAATGCAGATCTGTACTTGCCAGTATCTCTCTGCTGCACAGAGCAGTCCATAAGAATTACCCGATTGATGCGAGGGCCAAATCTGGCAGCAAGCTAGTCACCAGCAAATTAGTTGCTACTCTTCTGGCTTTCTTTTTCTCCCTAAGAACCTGTATGGATATTGACATCTATAAATTCTTATCTAGAATTTCCTGGTTAGCTGAGAGAAAAACAAATTTAAGGTATGACAAAATACAGTTATTGAGCAATGTATACTAGTGGGTGTTTGTAAATTAGAACCCCACCTATTTGGGGGAAGACACCAAAGCAGGACAAATGTGTTTTCTGTTTGCAGACAGCCTCAAAGTTTGTAATGTTTTATGGTTTTCTAGATCACGTAGATAGAAAAACGTATGTTGCTAACATTAGGGAACACTGTGTCTATGCTTCTTTAATAGCAGCAGTTTGAATCGGTTTTAGTTCCTGGGGATCTCCTCTGGCTAAGGATTACTGAGCTGGTGCAGATTTTTCCACTCTGCTCACTCTACGTATATTTCTTTAGTTGTGAATTCTCATAACTCTTATCTTTGGCAAGAGCAATATCTCAATGAATTTAATTAGAGTTTAGCTTTTAGACCAGCATTTACATCCTTCTAGTTGCAATTTTTGAAATAAGCCAGATTACCTAGTCAGTGATTTCCCTGCAGGAGATTTCAGGTCTTGTATCCTACATTTTGAAGCTCCTTTTTTCATAAGCTTTACTGCCTCTAATTCATGAGGTGTGTCTCTTTTTTTTTTTTTTTTCCTCTTCCCCCTACCCTCCTGACTTCTTGGTTGTTTTCTCTGAGGTGCATTTTATTGCTGATAAGCCTCTTAGCATGTATGTATGTATGTTGTGTTGAACATTAATGTGGGTTGATAGCTTCAGCTGCCTGACATTTACAGAAAATGACAAGAATCTGTTTTAATGGGTCAAATGTGTTAAACCACAAAGGAATCCTGGGTATGTTGTCAGTTTGTTTTGCTTAACTCAAAGGAGACACTTCAGAAGTTTTGGGGACCTGCTATGACTTTGTAAGAACAAGGTTGGCTTGTTAGCTGTTTCTGTTTGGTTTCTCATGGAAATTTGCTGCTCTGCTTGGCACATGCCCAAAACCCAATACCCACTTAGTTTACACACCACTGCAGGATTACCTCTGTCGGGGACAGTCAAGAACCACTTCATTATGGTTATGACCATGAGTGCTCTTACAACATATTTGTGGATTTAATGTCCACTATTGCAACCAAACCAGTTCCTTGCAGGCCTTTAGGTTCTGAAGTTGCAAAGAAATAGTCGTGTTTGTATATATGTAAAGGCAGAAGGTCAGATGGAGCTACTGTCGACCAGACGGTAAGAATACTGCTTAGAATAGTTTGTCCCTTGCTTTTCCTATGCACATAAGCATGCAGTAAGCATGGATATATGGCTGGTGTACCTGGTAGAACTCCAGCCCCTAGTAAGTAACTTTCTATAGGATGCTGAAATGACAAATGAGGTTGTTGCACGTTGATCCTTTCCAGTTATTGAGAAACAAGCAGTAGAAACAGAAGTTGGTTTTAGTCTCAGTGTGTTTCTTGGCTTTCTTGTCCTATTGTTTTCTGTTGAGAACAAGGAGGTTGGATTGTTGGCAGCAAAGCTTTCTAAAATGTCTGCTAAATTTTATACATTTATATATAAAATATTAAAAACAACAAAATTAAATATTGCAAAGCTTTGCCTAATCTCAAATACATATACAAATAGGAGAGACTTATGCATGTGTATCTTGCTAATATCAAAAGTGCGATTGGAAGTTTCCCAAGTAATTGGAAAATAAAACTTTCCACAAACCACTGTGCATCTCTGAAGCTGTAGCCATTAAAACCAGCAGGCTAGTGCTACTTTCGTTGCTGTAAAAGTAGCCAAGGAGCATGAGGATTTTGCTCTGATTTTAATCCACCTCTCCCTAGTTAGAGGGTTGCAATTCATCATTCTCCTGCAGGTGAAACAAAAAATCTGACTTGTAATTAGGGTCAATATAGCATAAGTTCTCTGGAAAGGAAGACTCATTCAGTCTTTCATCTCCTCTGTTCAGCACCCTTTATCTCATGGAGTAATTTAGTTTTCCGTCTTTCCAAACTAAAATGGCCAGTGTTTCGTTTAATAGTACTGCAGTTGCTGCTGCTAAAGTGTACTGGTAAAAGTAACTGAAAGCTTTAAAATGTTGCAGTTTTGTAATTTACCACAGAGCTTAAGTAACTGGATGTGTTTTCAGAACGGAACTTCAGTATGATGATTTTCTTTTGCTGATTTGTTTGGAATTCTCTGTCACTAGTGTTGCCCATACTAATAGCATCTATAGTGTGTGTGTCTATGTTTGACTTAAAGACAAAGGAGATTATTACCCCATATTAATCAGTTAGAAAGCGAGTGCCACAGAATTCAAGGTGGACTGTACCTTGTTCAGTCTGGGACCTTGTTCCCCTCCCTGCGCTTTTCTGCTCTGAGCTGAAATGAAGAGGTAAGTAAATCACACTTGTAAGAAAATACTAAGATAACTCCTGGAGTAATCACTTTCAGTGACCGTGTTTGCAGTTGGTATGTTTTTTTTCCCCCTATTCTTTTATTGTTTTCTCATGAAGTTTCTGGAGACAAATCCCAGAAGTTTTCTATCTAACTTGCATTGACTTTTTTATTTTTTCCATGAGAACTTGACTCAGAACTGTCACTTGTGCCTTGCAGTCTGTCTTGTGTCCATATGAGTTTCAGTAGGAGGGAGGACACTGAATGCAGAATCAGGAGTACTCTTTTAAGTAACAAACTATGAACAAACTATGCTGAAATACAGTATTAATACTTTTTTGTTCTCTGACTTGTTTCCAGGATGCTACAGTTATCTCCCACCTCATGGCACTGCTCAGTAGGTCTCGATATACACAAGAATACATATGTCAGATCTTCTCACATTGCTGCAAAGTAAGGAAGAGAATACGTGTTCTTTGTGCAACTTGTGTTTCTTGCATATAAGAAACTGTGTCAGATGATACTGCCTTTTGTGGCAGGAAAACTAGGACAGTAATGACTGAACTATTATTGCTCTGGATTTGCTGACAGATTTGTTGGAGTTGATATATATTTCTCTACAGTAAAACAAAATATGCAAATAAGCGCTGTTTAAAATCAGGTCTGTGTGTATATACCTTTGGCTACTAAACAAAGTCAACAGTCTAGGCAAATATCAAACCTCACTATGATCAGTATAAATTTTGGAAGGGGTTTTTTTGGTTTTGTTTTTTTTTTTTTTTGTCTGGAAGTCTCAAGACTCTGTGAGCATCTCTCTGCAGAGGTCTTGTATCTGCTTTCAAGACAGCTGTTTTATGCCCAGAGAATGTTTTCTGAGAGGTACTGTAGGTTGAGAGGAAGAAAAAAATGCTTTTCTCAGTTGAGCTCTCTACCAGTTACAGGTTTATCCAGATACATGTTCATTCCTGCAATATAATAGAATTCTCTTGATATGGGAAAACTAATTTAAAAACAGCAGCAACCCCACCCCAAACACAGTGTTTTCTTTCCCTCAAAGACACATACACCCCCTCCCCAAATTTCCACACACCACTGTGTTTTCGATTGTGGTAGATTTTGGTACTTGCTGTACCCATGGTTTATATAGTAACTGTACCAAAATAATACAATGTAGGAAATCAGATTTGTAAGCATCTTTCCCTTTTAGAAACAGTTTAAAACTAAAAGATCATAGATAGTATTTATCTACCAGACTAACAAATGAAAAAGTTCCAAAATTTAGGAATTTGTAAGTATTTACATCAAAATATAGCTTTCTACCTTATCACTTACAATGAATCTTCTGAAATTTGGAATTATTCCGTTGTTAACAAAGTGGTTTTTTCTCTACCTTGACTGTTACTTATGTGCATTCATCCATTTGCATTTCTTCTGTTAAGTGAAACTGAGGACTGAAAACTGTTAGTGTGATATAAAAACTCAGCTGCTAATATTTATAGAATTGTTTAAAGAAAACATTAAGACAAAATCCTACACCGTACTGTGGAAGTTCAAATCTATAGCTAATATTGGAAAAAGAATTTGATATATTAAGAAGAAAAATGCATCAGTGAGGTATCTTATGTTTAAGTGAATGTTTTGAAAAATCCAAGGTTTTGGAAAGAAAAAGCTGATTGTGTGAACAGATAGAAACATGCATGCACAAGAAAATCAGGACAGTGGATATGAGGATTAGGAAATAGTTTCATTTACAGAATAAATATTAACTGCGTAACAAAGAAAAATATTTGAGGTTGAGTAAACAGACTATCACAAATGTTAAATTGATCAAGAATTCATTTCTCGTGCCCAGGCAAACGCAGCTGTTCAGCAAAAACCTAAAATGCCCCTTCTTTCTTTTTTGTTTAGTTCTTGTGTTTCAGGTCTGATTATCAAGGTCAATTACTGCATTTTCAGACATACCAAAATACATCTAATACAGCAAAGCAGAATTTGCAGGGGATTTTCTGATTTATATGGGATAGGCAAAGTATGTTCTTATAATTTAAAAAAAAAAAAAATTAAATACAGAAAGTTTCATATTCACTACATTTTTAATGAAGACTCCATCTTTCCCCCAAAAAGCTATGAGTGAGAGAACCTTTCTAATTTTTTCCTGAATAAATAAATTACTGTAAGCTTTAGTATTTAGATAAGGCTTACCATATATTATAAGAGGTATTGATGCTTTTATTTCTTTTTTTTTTTTCTCATCTTAGTAGTTTCATTAATTAAACTAATAGCGACACATCATAGCACGAACTCTCCTTGTTCCTGCAAACTGTTCTCTGCTTAATCTTGTGCATCCATTTTCTCTCTTCCCAGCCAGAGCCTTGTTTGGTTGGGCTTCTCGGGTTTCTTTCTTTCTCGCCTGCTCAAATTTCCCTGGATAAGCACAGACCTCTTCTCTGGAGCTAGGAAATCCTTAGCTCAGGTTCCTAGCATATTGCTGCTATTTTCTGCTTTTGCTGCTTACTTTTACTACTTCTCACCACATTTTTAGAGTTAAAATTGACTGATGGAAAACATTGACCCTGGAGAAGAGCCATCCTAAGCAAGGGGAAGTGCTGATTTACAGGGAGAGCAGATGCAGTTCTTAACATACAGAGCCAGGATTCTATCAACATATAAGCAAATAAGTAAACTGAAATCAGGTTGATGTACAAGGCATGCTTAAAATGCAAGTCAAAATTTACTTTTTAAGATTCTCTCTGTCGCAGTTGATTTGTTTCCAGAGAAAGTGATGTGAGTAGGTAAGCTTTACTATTTTAATGGTCAAATTAAAAAGAATAGGTATGCATTTGGAAGCATATGGTTGTATGAATAATTTGAAAAGATAGTTCTGGAACTTATCTTTGAATGCGGTGACATCTCTGCATAAGTAATAACTTCACCACCAGTTGAAAATTAAAATCTTGTGTCTGGGAAAGATCCAGGATAAAGCCTGTAATCAAGGCAGCTTCCTCCCAAGCCAGTTCCGAGAATGTTTTCTTATGTGATCTTAGGCCTGAACCAAGGTACATTTGCATTTAAAATTTCATTATGGAATGAATTATTACATCGTTCTGTTGTACTGCTTTCTTGAAAATTGACATATCATGATGGAAAACCATGCAAGAAGTGTGATTTCTATTTCCAAAATATTATGTTGTTCTGATTTGGAGAAAAAGATCACTGTAATTGGACCAGCTCCTGGAACTCTGTCAGTACACCCAAAGAGACAGAAAAGCATTAAATTGGTGTCTCAGCTGCTTGGAATTAGGAAGGAATCATATGTTATATTCCCAAGTTTTCACATTTATATGTGAAGCTGTCCCTATTTATGGCTTAGTGCTTAACCTGATTGTGCATTGAACAAGCTGGATTGGTGTGTGCAAACGCAGTGGGTGCAGATTAGGTATTTTTGTGTACGTCTGGTTATGCAACAAAGAATACACCCAAGTGTCACCTCTGTACGTGCGTTTATCCTGTTTACACAGAATTTACTGTCTGCATCTCATTGAAAAATCACTAATACTTGTGAATTACTGAAACTATCTAGGTCAATATGATTTCTTTTACTTTAATTTCATTCATTTTTTTCACATATTTTAATATCTGTTCTTCAGCTTCAACACTGGCATAGCTGCGGCTTTAAATCATTGCCTCAGCCACTTCTGTGTGCCAATGTAAGTTGTTTTCTTACTTAAACCATGCTGTTTTAATTGCATTTTTTGGTAGAAAGCTCTTGGTGGCAGTAGCAGCTGAAGCATCTCTTAAAGCACCAGATATGTTACATCTAAAAGTAGTTTTATGTTTTTTTGTTAGAGGTAAGGGATATTCTAAAAATATCCTTTTGAATGTAAGGGGAATCTGATTTCAGCTGTATCTCAAATGTGAAAATAAAATCTCACTCATGCGTACTAGGGTACGCATAAACTTGCTGGGTTTTAACAGATTAAGGAGTGATGATACTTCACTTGCAGATTAGTCAAGAAAATGTGTAGAGGTATGATTAATGCTGTGACATTCTAAAAGCTGAATTTGAATTGTGCATGACCTGTGCTTAATGCAAAGATGTCTGGGGTCATAAATCTGATTCTGAAGAGATGTTTGTAAGTCACAGATCAGACTACTGAGGGTTGCAGGCCCCAGTGAGATTTCATGTTGTTTTTTCCAACCTCATCGAGCCTTGTCATACTACAGAAGTTCTGAGACCTTTTTACTGCAAAATTCGATATTTGTTTTAATTCCAAATGCTTTTTAAATCTTGGGAAAATATTGATGTATCAGCCATTGTCGACTTAGAGATCTTGAAGTCAATAAATGGGTGATGGCTGGTTAGATTTATGGCTAAATATGTTTGAAACTAGTCTGTAGGAGGAAAATGTGAATCTGTTCTCAAAGTACTGTCACATTCTGTCTGGAAACAGTTTCAGAATTAATTCCTTCTTTTCTGAAGGTAGAATTGTTGAAAATGCTTAGTATTACCAGTAAAGAAGACATTAGTAACTGGGGTTCTCTTACATGGTTTGTAGAGAAAATCAGGAGCTTTTGATTGTTTCCCTTTTAAAGAATAGAAACATAAGTACTCTATCCACATTTCTTCATTTGTGGAAACTTATTTCATTGCCTATTGAAGAAAAGAGTGGGGATTACTGGAAAAGGACAAATGCTATAAAAAGAAGAGTTGAACTTATTTAAAAAATATTGGTGTAATAACTGATTACAAAGGAAATGTTAGTAAATCTACCTTTAATACTTAACAATAAGTTGCAGATAGTGGAAACCTCTTACAGGTTCTTTAAAAAAAAAAAAAATCTAAAAAATCATGTTTTATGTTTTCCTTTGAAGGGTCCAGATCACCAGACAATCCTATTTAACCATGGAGCTGTTCAGAATATCGCACATCTGTTAGTTTCCACCTCCTACAAAGTAAGACATTAAAATTATTTGGTGTTTTACATATATCTATTAAAGGGATCCAAATGAAGATTATAAAAACTATGTCTATGCGTATGAACTAAAACTATGAACAAATATAATGTGTATTTCTAGAACAGTGTTTTTACTTGTCCTATGGATTTCTATCAAAATAAGACCTACTTTTTTGGAGTGTTCTGTAAAGTTAAAACACCATTAATTAAAACAGAGTTGGCTTTTGTTGATCCAAAGGACAACAGTCATTTGGCAACCCAATAAAAAACTTGTTGAACAATACATGAGACAAAGAAATTAAGCAGAATAGAAACAAGGGTGAACTGTTCTCAGCAGAAGACACACCTGTGAAAACATGGACATTGAACATGTGGAGGCCGCCAGGTGCCTGTGTGTTGTGCTCACTGAATCTCCTGACTCTCAGCTCCATCCTCTCTTATATTTTGGAAGTCCATCCTGGGGAAAAGCATCACGCTTTACCTAGAACTTGGTGCCAAGGAGGGTCAACTAGCTCTTTCCAGTCTAAGGCCAAAGTTTCAAATCTTGAGCACAGCCTTAGGAGTCTGCTGTAGATGAGTTTAGTAAAATGTTTTGAGTGCATAAAATGCTTTCTGAGGCTCTTCTGTGTAGTTTGATTTTTGAGGGCTAACAGATGTCTGCTACGCAAATGATTGTGAAATCTGTCAGAAGCCAGTCCTATGATCTCTAAGGAGTTGAACTTCCATGGACTTTCTTATTGTTATATCAATTTATCCCTCCCCAAATATGAATGTCATCATTCTGAAAGTAAGAAACACTTCAAAGTATCCCACTTTATCTAATACAAAATATCTAATATGTTATCATGCCATTTTTATTTTATCGAAAGTAGGCTATTCACGGGTTGATTGAGACTAGATGAGGTAATTGTGCTTGTCTGTTCTGCCTAATGCAGAAGATTCTTGATCATTAAAGTATCTTTCTCAGGAAAATCAGTCTTTAAATGAGAATTTCAAGTGAAGGGAAATTTGGTGCTCTCTTCCAGGGTCTTGTTAATCTCGTGTGTGGTGCTTTTTGTTTGGTTTTGGGTTTTTTTTTATAAATCCAGTAGGAAGTATGCAGTCTTCAATATTTTATTAGTGAGACTCATAAACTTCTGTATTCTGTTTTCCTGTACTAATTAGTTTTCATCATGATCAGGCAACGTTTTGCTCTTTCTCCCATTACCTGACCTTTTTTTACCCTGTATCGTAAGGTGTATTTTCCAAGGTATGTTTGGCTTGGAACCTTTTCTAATGTCTGTGAACTTTCCCTGATTTTTTCAAATAAAGAAAATAAGGAAATCGGAGCAAGGTAAAGTTTTCAAGTTGCTTTTTCACCAACAAGATACATGTAGCATTGCACAAAATACATATATTAAGTCCTGCCTTCCTGGAGAGATGTGTAAAGTATTCTCCCTCTCCTCCTTTGCTAGTTTGGTCAGGCCTTTAACGTCCAGGGGTACAGACTGAATTGCTTTTTATTGCTCTTCATACACTTCCCTCTGTTAATACTCCTGGGGTTAACAGCTTCATTGTGGTCCTAGCTGCTTTCTTAGTGTTCTGCAGTAATTAGATTTAGTTTAAAAACTTTGCCTACTTCTCGATACTTACAGTAAAGGCCAGCAAGGTGTCTCGGATGATTTAGGCAATAGGACCACATCAACAAACAGCGGAAACCCTCAAAATGGGATTTCAGTCCCCATTAGAAGAGTTTGTCTAGGTCTACCAAGACAGTTGCCTATTATGTTTCAAAACACTGTTTTCCTTTGGTTTTGGGATTGTCTCATAGCCAGCTGACTCTAAGACTATCTTTCTTGTGTGTTATTTCATTACAAGCGTTCAGCTTCACCACTGGTGAGATGTCTAACACAACGGAACTACAGCTTTTACAGCATCGTTACAGATAATTGTTTCAAGACCATATTTACGTATTTTTCCAAATGCTTACGTTCCCTATTTCTCATGTAACTACTGAACTAATTGCCCTTAAGTAGACATTACTAACAAAGAAAGTAATCATTGTAGTAATTTTAATACCTTTAATAGAGCAATATTCTATAAAACAGTTAACTTTCAGCTAGACTTCAGTTGTTCTCATTAGAACCTTTACCCCCTGCCCCGACTTCCGTTTGGCGGGAATACAGCTCCTGAGCTCTGGGTTTGACTTTTTTCAGTGCTTTTTCTGTACACAATCTCTGCTTCCTGCTGCTTTGAAGCATACACTGTATTCATTAGATTGTCTGAAGAGTAAATGGAAGCGTTGTCAAACAAGGCTTTTGTTCTGAAGCCAGGTAGCCTGCTAACCTTTCCTCCTGACTAAGACTTCAATACTACTGATGAGAAGAGATCTTACCATGGCTGTGATTAGATACTGTAAAAATTAGTGCACAAAAGTGTGATTGTCTTTGCTGTTGTTGTGTATTATTGGACTTCCATATTTCTAAAGACTTTTTGTCGAGGAGGGTGGGATGGCCCTAAACCTAACTTGCAGTAAGTGCTTTCTGCAGTGACGGGATTCTTCAGGTCAAAGTTTTGTTCCTTTTGCTTTGTTTTCACGCTAAGAATGTGGTAACAAACATGGAAAGACAAGGACACAGTTTAAATATGTGCAACTGTAGAAGGTGAAGTCGAAGACTAATATCTGAACTAAATTAGATTCTTTGTCTGGAAAGATGATAATGGTCGATCTTCCTTGTGTCAAAATAGAGGTTATAAAGATTCCATAGCCTAGCGTGACTAGACAACCATGAAATACTGTTTGATTAAACCAAGACATGGTTTTGGACTGGAGGAGGAAGATGCAACGTGAAGAAATTTGTGAATCCTTTTTGTACAGGTGATACCTGAGGCTGTGTAACGATAGTCAAACTTACAGTATATATTTGCATTAAGATTAGTTTAGAATCACTTCAACTGGATGGTTCTCTTTAGACATTTTATTAAACTCATCTTTAGAGGCTTCTGAAATATAAATCTCAGACAGAATATCTGATTCTCTTATGTACTTAAGAGTCCTGGAAAGAAAAAAGGACTGTTATGATATTTCCATTCTTTTGTTGTTGTTTGCATGTTTGTGAGGCATCATAGATAAGACCAGTATTGCTGACTGGCTAGTTCCCAAGTTTTATCCTTATCTTTTCCACAAATAGTTCACAACATACCCTATAGAAGGATAATTCCAACAGGGAGATCACAGGAGTCAAAGTGTGAGTTCAGTGTTTTCATCTGCCTTGTATTCATCATCTACGTTTCTTGTTCGTTATACAGAATTATTTTTTACAAACCTATATAGGGGTATAGACAAATTTTGCTTTTAAGTTAGCATTTATGTTCGTGCTTAGTATATATTATGTTTTTACACAGGTTAGAATGCAAGCATTGAAATGCTTCTCAGTTCTAGCCTTTGAAAACCCGCAGGTATCAATGACTCTTGTAAATGGTAAGTATAATGCTGCTGTTGCTTATTTGACACTTGTTTTATTGACTGGCTGAATTAGAATTACTTGGAGTTCTCTTTCATTGCTTGCAGTGTCGGTTGATGGAGAATTGTTACCGCAAATTTTTGTGAAGATGTTACAAAGGGACAAGCCCATTGAAATGCAGCTCACGTCAGCCAAATGGTAATTTTCATCAGGAATTAGAATGAAATAATATGCAATTTAATTCTTACTTTTTAACTGTTCCCTTTTTGCTGGTTGCAAAGTAATGTGTGATCTAAACTCTTAGGAATAATTATAGATATTATTTGCATTATCTAAATGCTTGGAGAAGTGGTTCTCGCCTAATGATCTTTATAGCATAACTTTCACTCTTTGCTGTACATTAACAGGAAAAAATGTTGCCAGGCAGTAATTTTGGCAGGAACATGTATTCGGACATGCGGATTTTCATAAGCTGAACTGCACTTTTCACAAGTGGCTTGGATTTTATGATAAGTTTTACTTGGAATAGGCTATGGTTAATCGTATGTCCTTACAGACTATAATATTGATGTCCTTGTTGCACCACTGTTCGGAGGACTCAGGTGACTGGGGCTGCGGTGTGTTCAGAACTGTATGCACTAAGATGATGAGAGAGAAGAGCTAGTCCTTCTTCCCAACTGTTTTAATTAAAATAGATTATTCCTTAAGCTTCATGTGCTCCTGCAACAGAATTAATGTTATTAATTTTATAGTTCAGATCAAACTTTCCCTTCTGGTGTGGGCACATTTTTGTGTGTTCATATTCATAATAACTTTCTACCCTGTGACAAAATGTGACCAAGTTCTATAACAGCAATGCTTGGGTTATACTCACTTTGTAAGCTGGGAATCGACTCCCTGTGAGACCTTTTTTCCTTTTGTTTTATTGATAATAATGGAATAAATTACTTCAGGGGATTAAAGAGATAAAATTACCCATCACTATAAACTACTAAAATCAAATGTAACTCAGGAATTTGGTCACTGATGTATTGTTTGATTATTCTTTTAGAATTCGATGGCTTATTTTTGACCTGGATCAGTGAGTTCTCTGATTCAGTTCACCAAAAAATTTCACTGACACTTGCCTCAGTGCAAGGTCTCAAGATTCTGGGTGAGGAGCTAGTGGGGTAGGTAGGATGGCCACTTTTGTAATATAGCCGGGTTATGATGACTTAGCGCATTCATGAAAGCAGTTGTAAAGGTGTGGGGGTGGTGGTGTTGTCTTAGGAAGGTAATCCCACTCCGTGTGGGAGCGTCAGTCGGGGGACCTCCCATGCTCCCTTCCAACCACAATTGGTCTGTGCAGTCTGGTTTTACTGGTTTTGTTAGGTAGCTCTTTGCAAAGAAGGCACGTTAAATTAACTGCATTGTAGCAGTCTCAGTTCCGATTGATTTATGTGTTTCTTTGAGAATTCAGAGAATACATAGGGAATTAAGTGTTAGAAATTATTAATTTTTTTTTTTACTGATCTCAAGATATAAGGCAGTTGATAAGTCACGAAGGCAGGGTGGAGTTAAAAGAATTGTTCTGGCTCCCAGGTCTGTTGGTGTTCTTTACTGATCTGCTTCAAAGTGGAAGGAGTTGGGTAGACAATCCCATCTTTTGCTGTTGCTTTGCCGTACTTTGGCTCAAGCGGACCTTTGAAAGCATGGAAGAAAATGATGCGGTAAAAAGCAAAAAAAGAAAATTGCAAGAAAAATGGAAGACAAACCACTATCTTGAATTCCAGATTGGCTTTCTAATTAGTCCGTGGGCAATCACCCTTCTTAGTAGGGCACTTAAGGCCTCAGTTTCATGACAGTCCTGGGAGCTTGCGAAGACCTGCTGGCTTTTCTTCTATAAGTCCACTCCCTACTTGATTCCCTCCAAGTCAGACTGTCTGCTTTTTTGTCATAGCAGGTGAAATTGTCACAGGTCCTCTTTTTTTTTTTTTTTTTCTTCTAAATTAGCCTTCACTCCTGCCTTGCCAGCTTTGGTCCATTAATCTGCAGTTCCTCTCTGATTTATTAGTAGAGTCCTTGGAACGCAGATGTAGAAAGGGGTTTTTATGCATTTGTGAAGCCTTTTGTTAAATTTCTATTTGAATCCAGACTGGCATACAGGGCTATCTTGAGAAGTTTCCTTTGTTTTTCAGTAACTAAAGTAGACCTGTAAGACCCAAGTTAATTCTTCTTGACTGAAATGGAGTGGGGATCCTTCACTTGAGCAGCAGTGTTGGCACAGAGGGAAGAGCACTAAACCTCTTGGGAGAGTGATTTGCAGCTACAAGTGGAGTAGTAACCTTTTCTACTAAAATTACCAGAATTGCTTCCAGCCAATCCAAGACTATTTTACCTGAAGTAAAAATACTTCATGTTTGAAATAGAGCTACTTTGTCTGGCAAATAAGGTCTAGCTGCACTAAATGGCAACTGCAAGATGAGTGCTTTCCTTGTGATTGTTCCGGTGTGAAAACGAGTATTTCCTGCTGTCGGCTCTAAGGCTCGGGCAGTAAAAGTTTATAAAATGTTCTCTATGCTAACAATCGAGTCTTACCTTTTCACTTCCAAGAAATAATATATAAAAAGCTATTTGATTATGGGATTTTAGCTATGTCTGTCACTGGTAGGTGTTTGGAACAGGATCAGTGATACTACCTTCTAAGAGATGAAAGAACTCTCTTTAAGCACTTGGAAAGAGCTCAGGAATGCAGTGAAACATGATATGATTACACTGTTAGCATATTACTACTCCTTAGCTGAGCAATTATAAATGTACATTTTTAACCTGCCCAGTTGAGAGTTGAAACATGCTAGTGTTAAGTCACCTTTACTGATCTTCAGGTTTGTTTTTTTTTTAACCTCACCTGTGGCATGATAAAAGCCAGTTACAATGGCTTAGTTTAAAAGCTAAAACAAAAGCTACTTGACTGTTCGTAGTGTAAAGCTTGAATGGTTTCTGGCTGAGCTGTTGGACTACCAACCCTATATTGTATGTATTGCTCCAGCAAGATGTCCTATACTAGAAAGCCGCTTAAAAGTAGGTCTCTCTTTGTTACGTTGTTACAGCCTTACTTCCATGTGCAGAGCTGGAGCAATACGGACAGACGATTCTTGCATCGTTCTTAAGGTGAGCAGGTTGAAAGGTTTTCTGTTTAAAATGTTTTTCTCACATAGAGCTATCTTGGTTTATTTGTCTCTGATAAAAAGTAGCACAAAATCTGTTACACTGAAGATTTCAAAGCACCAAGTTCTGGTTTTGGGGGTTTTTTTATTTATTTATTTAAAAAAAAAGTTTCCTAATTTCCCTTTGTGTCTAAGCATTTATAGTGACATGGCTTTTTTTATTTAGTTTTAAATAAAGATTTGTACTAAAAGAAAGGTTAATATCCAGGAATAATTATCCCAGAGTTTGACACACATCCATTTGAGGTTTGTAATCATTTCAGTAACTATTTGTAAGTAACATGGAAACAACATTACTGCCTTGGTCTCTGTATACGAACAAGGCACTGGTTTGTCTTTCAATAGCTTGTTTCACAAGACTGCAGTCAGAATACTTGCACAATCTATACATGGAGTCTGTCATGAGCAGATGATTTCTCAGGTTTCACAATGTTTTTGTACATTTGTCTGCTTCATACTTGGCTGGGGAAATTTGTTATTAAAAAAACAAACAACCACTGTCATGCTGAAATATTTGATTTGATTTTTATACTGCATATGACTTTATAAGGAAATTCAGTAAAGGAAACTTCATTAAATACCATAGGAATGTAATCTCTTAATAGTCACACTTCTATAGCTAGTCAAAAGAAAAAAGCTGTTGATGAGCAAGCATATGAGCCAGAGATCAGATAATACTGACACTGCTTGTTTCTCCATGAGATATTGAAGTATAACTGCAATGCTGCAATAAGAAAACATGTTTGCTTTCTCTGATAATTACTATAGCAGTCTGGCAGACTCCAAAGCTTTTAGTATGCTTTTAGCATCCTTCATTCCAGAGAATAACATGTATTTCAGACTTAAGGAAATGCTGTTTAAATGCCTGCAAAAATAATTTTTTCCCCTGTATGTGCCCCTGTACTGAGATTGAGAAGACAACATGTGTTCTTGGAATGAGTCTAGCAAGTGATGGGTCTAACCAACAAAGGAGTCATTGTCAGGATTTGGTGGGGTGTGATCTGAGAGCCAGTAACTTTTTATGGGAGCTCTTTGGTGCTGAAGGCCCATCCGTGGTGGTCAGGTCCTCTACTGAACAGACAACTAATAAGCGTATGCATGACCATAGCATGTGCTGAAAGTCTCTGTGGCACTACAGGTAACTCTGTGTAGTGCTTACAGCAACAAATACTTCTGACCACCAAAGGCTACTGATTAGTATCTTCTCACTGTGATCTGTTGCAAACCCTGATGGCTCCTGCAAGCTTTCATTTCCAACTGAAGAATTGTCACCAGAGTGTCAAGAACTGTCCCTATGGCGTACTTTTTGGTAACGCTGGGGAAGGAGTAGGTTTTATGTAAGATACTGCAATAAGGAAGCATGTTCATTCCTTTCAGTGTCCATGGCAGTAGAGTCTGGCATATCTACAGCTTTCGTTAGTGGGGTTTTGGTATCTGTCATCCCAGGTAATGACAGGTGAAAAATCTGTATGTTGGCTGAAACAAAGGCCCATCTCTCCCATCTTTTTACACAAGATAGTCCAAAATGCAATTCATTCCAGTGTTGCTGGTGTTGATAGCAGCATCTGTTCTGTACAGACACCTGTCTTATAGCAAGTAAGGCTGCATCCCTTTCCCTCATTCTCCTACTTAGCTTTTTTTCCAAACTGACCCTCCAATTCCCTGATCTCTCTCTCCTTTCACCACCTGCAAACTGAGGCCTACAATTTCATGCTCCCAAACTATCCTACTCCTGCAAACCTTATTCTTTTGAAAATTTCATCCCTGCAGTAATCCCCCACTGTCTGCTTAACCCCGGGCTACGTCCTGATCAAGATGTGTTGTGGATTCCAGAACTATTCTGCTCTGGGAGGAAGAAATGGGGCACTACTGCTGTAGGCAGAGGCAGGTTATTGCCGATAGCTGGCTGGTAACTACGTGGACCTACGCATACTCTGCCACGTAGGCTGAATGGATAATTGCAGTCCTTTCAACCCTGGGAACTGATTTGGTTGCCAGTATACAGCCATAGGAGCACTTTCTCAGGGAAGCAGCTTCTGCACAAATAAATGTTTTAAAATTTGGACTAAAATTTGTTGTAATACTTGAGGGTAGACAAAAGAGTGAGGACAGAAAGAAGGAACAGAACCTTGCCCTCTTGTTCATACAACTCATGTAATTTCTTCTTTTCTTCTGGGGTCACTCCAGGAGCTTGTAGTTTTAAGATCATGCACTGTCTTGGTCTGTGGTAAATAGTCACAAATTGTTTGACCTCTGGTGAACTAAAACACAGCAATGCCCTCTTTAGTTTTAAGAAATTATTGAATAGAACTTTGACCCTTCCCTTCCCTGCTTCTCCTAGAAGGTAGCATGGGCCAAGGGAGCCATGAGATTAGTTTTGAATGCGTTGTCCTTAGTCAATCCTAGATCACAAAAGGGCAGGATGGGTCAATTAGTTCTTGAGGGCAGCTTGGCTACTTTTGGTTCATGTGTGTAGCAAGAATAAACCTGTGCAAAAATAAACTTTTGAGGGGATTTTTTTTGTTGTTTAACTTTTGCAAAACTTTGACTGTGGTCACTTCTAAACATTGCATTCACACAGACTAATTTTGACAGCATGAGAAGTTGGTATACTTAGTAATGCCTGAAAATTTCTCTGTATGTGTAGTCTTTAAAACCACTAAAATATTTTTGTCTAAAGGTATTAATCTAAAGAACGTTGTTGAGAATTGCTCTAGGATGTTGGGGGTTTTTTGTGAAGTTCAACTAAACAATGGTGGATTTTGTGTTGTGGGTTGTTTTTTGTTTTTTTTAAACTTTTCAGACTCTGCCATGTTTGGTTCGAATGTGTAGTAAGGAAAGACTGTTGGAGGAGCGAGTAGAAGGAGCAGAAACACTGGCCTATTTGATTGAAACAGATGTGGAGCTCCAGAGAATCGCCAGCATCACTGACCACCTCATTGTCATGCTTGCTGACTACTTCAAGTATCCCAGCTCAGTGAGTGCAATCACCGATATCAAGAGGGTATGTTGCCTTACCCAGGTTTGAATATTTGAAAATGTGCAAAAATGATAATAAATGGGCTTGGGATATTTTGTTATTCTGTTTAAACCTGATGTCTGAGATCCTCAGGTGATCAGAGGTCCAGCAGGACTTAATTTCTTATGCATATAGTCTCCAAGTCTGTGCTCGCTCACTGCTTTTCTGGACCCTGTGTTATCCAAACTAAAATCACTGTGTATATCTGAACTCCTGTAAGAAGGATGCTGCCATTCCTCTATGCCAAAGATAGATGGGCTATGGGGAGTTGAATATAGCTTCACCATATGAGTTTCATTACGCTTTCCAGAGATAGCAGTGAAATACCAGATTGAGACATCTGTCATGTTTTTCCTTTGCAGAGTTTAAAAGATTTACCTTCAGGAACCAGTACATTTCAGCTTCATAAGAGATAATAGTCTTTGTGATGAGAAATCAATTTCAATTATTAGTGTGAAAGTTCAGAGATGGTTTTGTTCTGTTCAAGCAGAATTTTGTATTATAAGTTATCTGCACTTGCAAGAGGTTGGATAAACAGAGACCAAATTTACCTTGGAGATATAGTTTCATAGGTGGTGTTGTACTAGGAGTACAATCCGTGAACTTTTTTTACAGACCTGCGTACACTTTCCAAAGCACTAGTGGATCAATCAACCTCAGAAGCAAGATTGGTTTTGATATTCTGCATAGGGAAATATCCATTCCCTTCCCCTCTTACTGAGTCTGATTTTTAGAAAGGTCCCCAAAAAACCTTGGTAACCTGGGTTACAGAGCCTTGGTCTTTCTCTGAAACTAACCCAAGAGTTAGACTCACTTCTCAGACTTTTATAGAATGGGATTGATAGAAAGCTGCCTTGAATTCTGTGTAAAAATGCAAATTAAATATTAAAAAATAAATTAGTTGAAGCATAAATTTAAATAAGCAGAAGGAAGTTTAGCAGCTGATTGGGGAGTAAAGGATGTTGGCTGTAGCATCAAAAAATGATTCAGTTCCAAATGTGAATGGGGCAATTATAAATATTATGACATTGCTTTGAGTGTTCAGAAGGTTTGTAAAAACAGTTAGCTGGGAAGCCAGGGTGCTTACTTTGTAAAAAATGCTTTGAGTTACACCCAGTATGGTAAAAACTACATAAGTGGGGACTCTGCTGAACAGATTACTTGCCTGTTTTAAATAATTTAACAATGATATGTTCTGCTCTGATATAGGTGCATCAGAAAGAATTACTCATACAGCTTAATTTTTGACAGGTCTTTTACTTAAGCACTTTGCTGCTTAATACTAGCATTTTTCTGGCGTTTTATGTAGACTTTAAATATTGTATTGTTTTGTGGTACTATTTGGTACAGAGTTTTGAGGTCAGTCAGAATCATAGAATTATTCTCATTGGAAAGAACGTGAGGAGGTCTGAAAGTCTTAATTTTCTGTTCAAAGCAGTGTCAATGCTGAGGTCAGATGAGGTTGTTCAAGGCTTCATCCAGTTGGCTCTTGAAAACTGCCAAGAGTGGAGATTGCCCCTCTGAGCAATTTGTTCCATAGTTTGACTGTTCTAATAGTGACTTTTTATTTCTTATATCCAGTAAGAACCTCACCTGTTTCAATTTGATTATTGTCTCTCCTTCTCTTGCTGTGCACCTCCATAGAGAATCTGGCTCCATGTTCTCCTTGTAGGTGTTGGAGGGCTGCTCTTAGGTCTCTGCTCAGCCTTCTCTTCTCCTGGCGGAATGAACCTCAGGGTACACCCCGTCTGCTCTCCTGAAGTGAAATTCTCTGTTGAAGATGACTTATCTGTAACTCAGTAGAGAAATTAACCGTTTTCTTAACTTCAGTTATTGCATTCAGTTGGACATCAGCTCGTGGAATAGCAGTTCGTTTGTGTTTATGGCTGCTCTTGGTATGGTAGAGAAAACCCCAGAAGATATGCACTAGATTACTACATAAGAAAATAGCACCTGTAATTTTTAATGTCTAAATTTGATATCTATGCTTTATTTAAATAGCTTGACCATGATTTGAAGCACGCCCATGAACTGCGCCAGGCTGCTTTCAAGCTCTATGCTTCCCTGGGAGCAAATGATGAAGATATTCGAAAAAAGGTGAGCCTGTGAAAAACGATAGCAATCGGGCAAAGACCTAGCTGGAACTTGTGCTGAAGGGCAGTGCAAGAATTCCATCCATGGTTTTCACTGTCGTATAAGTAAGCTGAAACAAGAAGGCTCTCTATTATGTTAATATAAATTTTTACATTGCACTTTCTTTGCATGGAATTTGAACAAAAATTATATTGCCATAACAAAATATGAGAGTAAAGTTGATTTATGTAAATGTCTTCACAGTGATGAATTAGATTCTCACAGTAAGTTATCTTTCAACATACTGTGGTCCTTGCTGCTCATAAGCTGTGCAGGAATATTGCTGTAGTGTATGAGTAACTTCTGAAACTTATGTTCTGAGGAACAGAATTACCTCTGTTCTCATATATCCGACTGTAAGACAAACGGGCTTTTTTGAAAAATAAATCCTAGAAAGTCTAATCATATTGGAAAACAAAGTCAAAATGTGTTCCATGACTCTGAAGTAACCAAGGGGGTTTGCTCTGTTTTAATAAAGCAATTGATATGAAGAACAAACTCTACTTGGACATGACAAGAAAGAGATTGGATGGTTGGAGCACTCACGTAGTTAAAAATGTGTGTGGAAAGTGGAGGGAAATTAAACAATGAAAAGCATTTTTAAAAAATTAAGCATGGAGTTGCCATGTCAAAGAAAAATGGGAGGTACGGGAGGCAGGAGAATTTTCTGACTTTATTTGCTGGATAAAGGGGAAAAAACAGAAGATAGATAGATATGGACAGGAGAACACAGCGTTGAAAAGATAACTAGCAGGCAGATTTGTTAGTTGGGGAACCCTTCAGGATCTCCAGAATTCAAACCCATGCATTTCTCTTTTGATGCAGGATGAACTTCTTCAGTTAATAATAAGGATCCTTCTTTTACATATCAAAGCATCATTTTTAATAAGTGGTGGGTGTGTACATGACAAAGTTGATTTATTATACAAAAGCCATCCTTCATCTTGGTATTAACTCCCTTTTATCCTAGTCTTAAGTGCTTGTGCTGGCCATGTCTAAATATGGCAGATGAACTACTGTGTATTTTTTTCCAGATAGCTCCCCAATGTGTGTCTAATCTGCAGACTGCATATATTGTGTATACTCACACATGCACTCTTTGGTTTAGTATTACATTAAGGGTAATTCATATATATATGTGTGTGTGCATATATATATAAAAAAAAAAAACCCTCTGGTTCCTTATCATTAGTAAAATCATTTTGAAAGCAGTAGTGGAGCATAGAATGTAGATTTCTTTTTTTTTTTTTCCTGAAATTGTGTGCAGATACACACTCCTTTCCACTTAATCTAGGAAGAGAATGTGTTTTGCTGGTTTTAGCCATGGTTTTTATATGCAATATTTAAAATGTAGCAGACAGAAAACCAAAAACCTATCAATATTTAAAATGTTGGAGACAGAAAAACAAAAACCCATAAATGCTGATATTATTTTATTCATATAACATTAATTCCTTTTTCCTCCAGATCATTGAGACAGAAAATATGATGGACCGTATTGTTAATGGCTTGTCTGAATCTAGTATCAAGGTGCGATTAGCTGCAGTCAGGTAGGGGGCTTTTCTGATTCATACAAGTACTTTTGTCAAAAATCTGATGCTGCAATTGTTAGAATTTCTGCTAATTTTTCAAAAGCTAATCTGAAGTGATTTCTACTGTTGGAAAATTTATTCTGGGGGGAAAAGTTATCCTGGACTGATACAATATTTTCTTTTTGTTATTTATAGTCTACTACTTCACCAAATTCGAAGTTGAATATTTTTGTAGAAGCAAAGTATATATTACACTAGTGTGAGTGTGTGTTTCACAGTGAAGGTTTCTTTTCCATTATAGATGTTTGCACAGTTTGTCCCGTTCTGTACAGCAGCTCAGGACAAGTTTTCAGGATCATGCTGTATGGAAACCTTTAATGAAGGTAAGTAAAGCAAAGTCAAGCCTCAGCTCCTGAGGTGTTCTGCTCCATGAATGGAGGATATGGTGTCTGTTCAATTTGCATGCCTTTCTGTAGAATCATCATAGAAATTACCTAGAAATCAATATTCCTTCTCCTAAGAGTTGTAAATCAACAAAAAGCCAAGCAGTAGCCAAGAGGACTGTGGGTTTTTGTTTGGTTTTTTTTGTGATCAGTGAGTGAGGCTGTTATTCCCTAATGTTTACGTAGGGCAGTAGGACTATATCTCCTTTAATTTCAGGCTCAGGCTAGATGGCGCAGTTCAGACTTGGTCTGTAAGCCCTACAAGAGAATTTAGATCTGCATTTTCTCCTGTAATTCTTTACCTTCTAGATCTCATTGCAGATTCTAAAACTGAGGGCAAAGAGCTTAGTGAGACCTTTAAAAAGACACATTTTAATATAATGCAGTTATCCACATGATTAAATGGGATCAAAGTGTGTAAGGTATATATTGTCTCTCATCCTGGAATGTGACTGTCATTAAGTGCAGATGATAAAACCGGTTTCTCAGTTTCAGCATCTTTTAGACCTTGAAAATGGGGAACAAAGTCAGCAAGAAGCCTGAAAGCTTGGGCAGTATAGAAATCCATGAGAATGACCTGAAGTGAGCTTGACTATTCAGAAGTAAGATAGCCAGACTAGAGAAAGTGGTGTCAGCCCAGATGAACTGATGAGCCTGATAACGAGGCAGTTATGTAAGCTGACTGTCCAAACCTTCTCTCAAGAGCCTGGAAAGGAAGTAAAGCATTAGGCAATCCTTCCCTTACTTTGAGTGGTATTTCAGTACGAGAAAGATGCCTGTTAGACATAGTACTCCGTAACGCTTTGTTTGGGCCTGACTTTCTCTGTTCTGCTTGTGTTCAAATTCTCACAAGTTAGAGACTCAAGAAAACTTGACTCTCTGGTTGTCCTACGCTCTCTGGCCATCTTGTTGGCTGCACACCGAGAAACTTTCTCAGATTCTTGCATGAATTAGAGGCCCTAAAATACAGGCTTACTTTCTTCTACAGTTTCTTGATAGAAACGAAGTGGAAATTATTTCCTGACAATATACACAATACACTTATTACAAGTTAAGCATTCATCCTTGAATTGAGTGTGTGAGTTGATATTAATTCATGGATGTCTAACTCATTAGTCTTATTGGGAGGTCAAGGGAGATTTGATCATGCAAGATTTTGCTATCACTATAGCGTAATAATCCCATGATTCAGGACCCATGATCATCACCTGAAGAGGCTTGGAGGGAATGGTTTGAATTTTTTAAGCGTTTGTGAAAGGCCAAACATGAAAACATTTATAAATGTAAAACATAAAAATGACGGGATTGCTTGAAGAAGCACAACTCTCCTTTTAAGGAGACCCATGTGAAAAAAACCAAATGTAGATGTCAGACTGTATGTAAACACAGCTGCTGGCAGTTGTTCCTTTTGATTTGTATTAAATAAGTCGAAGTCAGAAACTTGTATGTTCGTTCCAAAGCGTCAAGAATTATTATTAATAGAAAAAGTAATAGTAAATAAAGATAAACTAATTTTCAGTCTAGATTAATCAACTTTGTAAGTCCTTTGTCTTTCCCCTAGCACGGATACTGTATAACCATGGAAGAATGTCTAAAAGTATAGGATGTATAGATGTATAGATATAGGATGTTAATATTCGCAGTTTGCTCAGTGCTCTGAAACAGAAGGTGGTACAGAACAACCCCTCCATAATCCCTTTCTTTGCTGGAGGAGCAGTTATATCCTCCATGCCCATTTCCTCACAACATGCAAGGGAGTTGCTCTGTTTAAGAATGGCATGTATTTGTCTTGCTGGAGATCCAGCACAGGTAAGAGAGAGTATAACTCATTCCAGGCTACTTGCTTTTCTGAAAGGATGGTTGTGAGGAAATTTGCAGCGTTGTGCTTTGCAGGAGGCACAGAAGTGTTGAGGAGGCCCCTCCTGCAGCTTCCTCCTCTTTTCTGTAAGGCATGATGCAAAGGTGTGCTGCGGGACACAGCATCCTCTCTGTGGAGAGAACGGCTGCAGAGGTAAATGACAAGCACCAGCACATGTATGCTTTGCAGAGTGGGGGTCAGTTCCCACTGATTTCTTCGAAGTTGGACCTGAAAGCTCTCAAATCTAGCTTCTGTGAAATAACTTGCATTGCTCCAGTTTGTCCTGTAATGTGTATCATCACATTGAGTTGAACGAGCACCATCTGGATCTGCACTGCTAGCAACAAAATATCTCCCGAAGTGCAGAATAATTACAGATATTCCATTTCAAAATGATCCCTTCCTTATCCTACTAGTTAATGGAGATTCCTTACTCTCCCCTTTGTGACTGCAGGTTTTACAGAATGCTCCAAATGAAATTCTTGTAGTAGCATCTTCCACGCTATGCAATCTTCTTCTGGAATTCTCTCCAAGCAAGGAGGTTAGTATTTATCCAGAAACAAGAAGAGGTAACAGACAAAAGTTATTATACAATGGTTCAAGAAGAATAAATATCTTAGTTGGTAGCCACTGCTTATGAAATATTACAGAGCTGTAACATTGGGCAGACTGTATCACTGATAGCTTGTGAATAATAATAATTAAAAAAATATCTTTACAGTGCTGTGACAGTTAAATATGGTTACATTTAACTATTCAGTCTCTAAAGAGAAGACGTAGACATGAAATTTTGGAGGTTTTTTACACTGTTTCTTCTTGCTTATGAATTTTTTCGATAAACTGATAATTGGCAATATGATCCCTTGTCTTAGAGGATTACTGCTGTAACCTTGAAAATGCTGATATAGCTGAGTCTCTTGTGGTTTTTGTTGTTCCCGACTGAACGATACAGGATATCTGTTCTTGAGTTCTGCAGTGTCTGTATTTCATACAGGTCATACATACATATCAATACTTCATAGCAATGGAACAATTCCCCTGGTCTTAAATATTTCTTAATTACAGAAAACATTTGCAAGATTGTTGTGGTATATGTGGGCTCTTACAGGGCAGTTTGGATTACCTTGGCTTGATCAGTTGATCCTGGTGGTTTTAGTCATGTCAGTGAGACAGAAAATTAGAGCAGCTAAAGTCATTGGATGAATCCTTTTAGCACATGAGCTCTACAGGTAGGAACCTTCAAATTCAGTTCAGGTTGAAAGCAGTTGTTTCAAATTTAACTGTCATTACATTCATCAGTGTGAAAGAAAAGGTGCCTGTATTGATAGTTATCCTGTCCTTTAAAATGTGGTACTACAATGTTTTGCATTTCAGTCTGACTGTCAAGAACAGTCTTCGGTCTTCCTTATTGCGCCAAAGTTTTTCTGTTGGATTTTAGTTTAGCGTTATTACTAAACGTGAAGATTAAATGTCAAGAAATAATCAAATAGCTTCCATTCTCCATAACCTCTTTTAAAAAGTCACATTTGCTACCCAAAAAGGTGTGATTGCTCAAGGAAGACAGTGTTTTTGGAGAGCAGTCCTAAACTGAAAGTTTTTGGGGAAAACGTTTGCTTGTGTGTGACAGATATGTATATAGTATCACAGCAGTATATGTATGTGTACATGTGTGTATGTATATATACATGTGTACAAATACATGGATACACATGAGAATAATCTTGACCTGAGTTTTTTTCATGAAAACCTACCTTTTAATGCTCATGAATATAGGTTATGGCTTGGCCAGTTCATGTGAGTGGACTGGACATGTTGTAAACTCAAAAATAACACATAAGCAAGAGGTTTTTGTATTATATTTACATTTGTATATATGTCCAATTAGTCTAAGTGGTGTTTTAAAGATGTGTTTGGTTTTTTTTCCCCCACCCTTTTCATTTTAGCCTATTTTAGAATCAGGAGCCATAGAACTTCTATGTAGTTTAACACAGAGTGAAAATCTTGCCTTGCGAGTGAACGGCATTTGGGCTTTAATGGTAAGTAGAACACACTGATGAAATACTGCTTGTGATTTTGCATCTTAAGTTTGAGAATGTAACTTAAAAAAAAGTTGTCAGTTGTTATTAAAAATAACATAGCTGAAATCTGGCTTGTCCTTCTACCTAACTACAGAAGGAAAACAGTATCAGCCTGGAACACTTCTTCAATTCGACCAGAAAATAAAATAAACCCTTCAATTCTCATACCAGTTTGGTTGCCAAGATCATTCAGGGAAACAGTTAAGTAGTGTCAGTAGCATGCCAGGGGACAAATAAAAGCAGGTAATAACCAGGCCGGCCATGAGACTGTGTGGAAATTTAATTCACCGTGGCAGTTCCTCATAAATTATAACCTTTGCAAGATTAAGTTTACAAGGATATGTGCTTGCAGGTCGTAATCTACTAAAAGGGTAAAAGCCCAAGTTTAAGGTAAAAAAATCAAGTAAAAAATTTCTGTCTCTTTCAGAATATGGCATTTCAAGCAGAACAGAAGATCAAATCAGACATCTTACGAGGTCTGAGTACAGAGCAGTTATTCCAGTTGCTTTCTGATTCTGATGTAAATGTTCTGATGAAAACTTTGGGACTGCTCAGGAATCTTCTATCTACTCGCCCGGTAAGTAGAGCTGCAAACAGACCTTCTTCTGAAAGGCTGATCAAACATGCAGACAATGCAAACTAATTCTCAGTCGTCTTTGTAAGTTATTTTTCTATCTAAGATTAGTGTTCGATATATTGCTAAAACTAAGGCCTTTGCATTTATCCCAGTATCCGTAACCAAGTGTACAAATCAGTGTAAGAAAACATTTGAAAGAGTTCTGTATGTCCAATGAACCTTTGTTTTTGTTATCCAATACAGAGTTAGACAGTTATATTTAATGTTTGATTCCATTGCATTTAGCTTTCAGCAAAATTATTTTCCTAACAGTCTTACTGTGAAACTTGTCCAGAACATCAATAAGAGGGTTACATGTTGAGTCAATGTGTGGAGAGGTAAATAGCTTAAGGATATCTGTGTTTCTTCTCTCTTGACACCTGAAATATTTCTGTTCTTACCCAACTATATAGATAGTACTGGCTTTTTGAATTTGACTGTGGGACTGTGCGCTTACAAAATGCATACATTCATTTTACACACTGAAATAAAATGGTTTGAAAATGTAAGCCCATGAATTGTTTTTGACAGGGAGAAAGAGATATTGGTGGAGGAAAAGAAAGGGGTAATCCCCTGTGAAGAACAGAGGGAAAACATGCAGCAAACATTTGGCAAGCCAACATTTTTGTGGGGGAAAAAAACCACGAAGCCTCTACTGTGCATTTATCACGTATTGTGTTTCTACCATAAAAAGGTCACTGCAAAAAATCTTCTGATATTTGTACTCGTTGAGTCTCAATAAGCTTCATAGAAAATTAGCTCTGTCTTAATGTGAAAAGATATTTAATAACCAGTTATTCATTAAATTCACCCTAAGCTCTGACAGCAGTCTCATTATCACTTAGGGTGTTCTTCAGCTGAAATTATGTCCCAGGTTCACCTAATTTCTGTAGCATGTTTTAGAGCCAGAACCAACCATTTTCATTCTCTACCCAAAAGTCACTCCAGAATAACTCATCCAACAGCTTTCGAATGAAGTTTCATTATTAGCAACTTTAAGAAGTCCTACAAGAACCCCTAACGTCTTAAAAAATTGTAGTGTGCCATGTGATAGTAATCTCTGGTGGATGTTTGGTGTCACTCTTGAGTTTTGGTGTTGGTTAATCCTGTAGATCTAGTTTCATCTTTTTCTGTTACTCTTAATGATCAATTATACTCTAGTATAGGTGTTCATAGTCTGTGATCAAATGACCTTTACCTGTCAGTCTCTTAACTTGAGGCAGTTTTCTTAGACCATAAGTAATATATATGGCTTATTTCTGTGAACCCTCTCAGGCTTTTGAAATGTGGATATCAGACCTGGTCACAGTGTTCCAGTAAGAGTTGCAAATATCAGATAAGAAACCTCAGTTTTCTTACTCCTCTCTGATATCCCTCTGTTACCAGAAGAGGAGAGAAGTGTTTGGGTTTTTTTAACTGCAGCATTGTACTTAGAGCTTGTGTCCAGCAGGATTCAGTCTTCAGACTGGCCTCCGTGCAACTGGGAAACCAGTGTCTTTTCTACAGGCTACAGTGAAAGCAGAACCAAGGCCCTTATCTTGCTCTCTCAAACAAGACCAGGCTTCAAATGAAGAGGAATATTATGAAGTGTTTCTGCTGTAATGGGTTCTTGTTTTTAGGAGACCTCGCTAGGAGCTAGGGTCTTTGTGCAATGTTGCTACTTTTTACTTAGAGTAATTCAAGTAGGAATGCCACTTCTCTGTCTGGAAAGTTACGCTGATTGTATGTCATCATTGCTTTGGCAGCACATAGACCATATAATGAGCACTCATGGGAAGCAAATCATGCAAGCAGTGACCCTCATTCTGGAAGGGGAGCACAATATAGAAGTCAAAGAGCAGGTACCCTTTTTTGTTTCATGTTATCTTGGCAGAATAAAATTCAAGAAACAGCTAAGAATGCTTACTCAACGTATCATCTTTGTTTGGGATTATGATGTGCTGTGAATATTTTATGGAGAACTGTCCATTTAATAACTTTAGTACCTACAAGAATGCTACTCTTTCTGATGGATTGTTACAAATATGTATTAACCGAATTCAGACTGTTTCTTAAACATAGATTTGGCAAAGAGGACGACACTATATACGAAAGCAGAAAAATTAAATCTAAGGTAATAGCATGGCAGAAAGGGGACAGTACAAATAATGGAAGAGAAAGAAGCCAGTATTTCTCAGTGGGGAAAGCTTCATGGTTATTTGCTCCTAAAGCAGCCGTAGGAGCAGTCAGTAATGAAGAATACCATCATTGCCTGCCTTGCTGGCAGTAATACCTGTTCTGCTGTGAGATGTGGTAACTCAGCTGTTCTTGGGTGCCTGCAGACACCAGCAGCGATTAGAAGAGGAGAGGCACTAGCAGGGAAAAGAGCATGCTGGTGTAGCTCGGGGAAAAGTGGGGAGGAACATGCCCTGAAAAATTACAGCTTAAGAAAAGCAATATGCAAGAGGAAAGGGAGAAGGAAAGAGGAGATGGCCAATAGGGAAAAGCATCCCTGGCTTGGTGGCAGCATAAGGGGGCCAGCGTACAGGGATACCTGCTGTAGGGGTGCTACAGCAAAGAAAGAGGATAGAATTTGGCTGATTAACTCTTGTGACAGACAAGACAGTGAATTGGAGAACCCTGTTTCTTCCTCGTGAAAAATGGGGGCAGCGAGAAGCTGTGGGAGATTCCAGAGGATTGCTTTGGCTTAGGATGGATATTGGTAGCAAACAGTGTGGCAAATGAATATAAAAATACAGTTAAATCCAGACTGGTTTAAATCTCTGCTTAGTGAAGAATGGGCTGAAGGCAAACAGACCTTTTATGGCTATTTAGGTGCAAAATTAGAAAAAAACCAAAAGACTCTTCATGGATAGCAAGTTTAGTGATACCATGGTTCTGAAACAGCTGAGGATTAACCTAAATAGTTCTTCCTGCTAAAGCTCTAGTGACAGGAGTGGTCTTCACTGCAATAGAAAGTCATTTACTTTGCTGGGCCTCTCAGAATTATTTTGGGGGATGATCAGTGTACCTGAGAAATACTCTTGGACAGAGCTAATGGACATGGGTTGAATAAAGCCTTTAGGGTTTGGGGCCTTTATACACAGAGCATTTTCTGTGTTCCTGTGGTGTGATCAGCAGCTTGGTTTTATTTCAGAATCAAGTAATATGTCCAATACTGCCTATCTGCAACACAAGAGCCCGTACTTCTAGCAGGACCATGCTTATCTCTATCACTGGCTCATCAGTATGTAATTAACAGTTTGGAAGTAATAAATCCCTGCAGCTGCTGACATGAATGCAGTGCAGCTTAGACACAGGCATCACACAAGTGCTGATCGTTCTCCCATGTCCTCCTATAGTCATCCCTAAATGTCCAGAATAGATGGCTAAGTTTTTTCCACACCTCTTTTGGAAAGAATTTGTAGAGCATCTCCCAGTGCCTCCTGAGAATCGGGAAAGGTGCCTGTGTAATTCTGAATGCCATGTGCATGTACTGCCAACACGGGACTAGATGCTTCATTGTTATTCTGTAGGATGGCTTCTCTAATTTGTGAGAAATAACCAGACGTGTTAGTAGTTTGAGTTATCTCTGCAGGTAAGATGTGTGATTAGACTTGTTGAAAAAAAAAATAAATAAAATACTGCTCTGCTAGATCAGCAGATAGGCCTCTGTCTCTCCTTTTCCTGGCCTGAAGAACTAGATGAATATGTTTGTTTGGTTTATTTTTTTTCCCTAGCCACTGATACAGAATAGACTGCTTTATTCTCCAGAGTATTTAGTCTTTCCTATATGCTGCATATTTCCATGAGAGACTTAAAATTTTACTCGTTGAAATGAATTAATGTTGCTTTTTATTTTAAAATGGCAATGACTGGTTTTTGCTAGGGCTGTTCATCCCCAGCTGTTAATTCTTTGGCATTGGCCCCAGATGTAAGCAAGCTGGAAACTCCAGATTAAAGATATTAAGACTAATTAAAGAAATTGTTTGTCACAAGTTCAAAGCTGTCAGGGAAACTGTATAAATCATAGGATGTGATCTGTAGCCAAATAACAGTTTTTCTCCCTTTCAGACATTATGTATACTTGCCAATATAGCAGATGGAACGACAGCAAAAGAACTGATTATGACCAATGATGACATCTTGCAGAAAATCAAATACTACATGGTATGGAGAATTTCTCTTAAAGGTCTTATCCTGTCTTTTGCAGGAATGAAAAGAGGGTACTTCAGCATTTTGTGTTGTAAATTATTCAGTATCGTGCCCTTAACTTTCAGATCTATTTATGAAATCATGCAGTACAGCTCTATATGGCAGAGGTGTACTGAGGATCTGATTAAAAAAGGAAAATCCAGTCATTATTTCCTATAAGAATGACTTAAATAATACTTGTAACAACTCTACGTGGAAAACATTTCATGATCTTGGCATATCTTGTAGACCTCAATAAATATTTGGAAGGAATTGCTTGAACACCACTCAAGTGCCTTCTGTTATGGCACTACCTTTGAGAGAAGCTGTGGATAAGAATTAGTCCCAACTTTGCTACCTTATTTATGACAGGATGAATGCCAAAATGTAAGTCTGAGAATTTCTGAATTCCTTCTTCTAAACTTGAGTACTATTTTTCTATATTTAGAGTCATTCGAATGCTAAACTTCAGCTCGCTGCGATGTTCTGTATATCTAATCTCATATGGAATGAAGAAGAAGGTAAGCAAGCCTCGTTATTAATACATGTACAAGTTAGTATCCTGATGAGAAGGCTAATGTTGGATAGTAATCAATATTTGCAGTGCACAGCACAGTGGGATCCAAAGCATAAAGGCAGACATCATTATAGGTGTAATACGGAATCAGTGAGCACAGCCAGGAGGACATTGAGGAAAGTGTAGACAGCTGTTCTGGGGCAGGAAGGGGAGACACAAGAAGAGAGCATCAATAAATAGGACTTGATGAAGTCACACAGTGGGAGGTTTCCACCTGTAGCATTTCTGTAAAGTCTGCAAACAATTGGAGTGAAAGAGAATCCTAGTAAGAGAGATTAAGTCTTAAGGAGGTGGTGGGAACTCCTTGTTGGAGGGAACAGATTCACTGGAGAGGATAAATAGATTAGGAAGGGGACTTGTTGCAAAGAAGTTTTCCCCAGCATGGATGGCTTGAATGGGTTGGGTGGTGGAAACCAAAGGACTTGTGGGTGGAACTGGGAGGAACGGGGAAGGCAGTCAGTAAGAAGAGTCCTAGCCTGGAACAATGGAAGGTAGCCAGGAGGGAGCTGAAGGGTGCTGCTGCACAGAAAAATATGTGTGTTTGTATCCAGGGGTGGAGATGGTAGATGGAGGCGGCAGTGTGGAGCTGGAAGAAATGGCAAGGGAAGGAGTGGGGGGAGGTGGTGTGCTTTGGGGAATGGTGGGACTGGGAACAGGACTTTCCTAGATGGATGATATCCAGACCCTCAAATTGACCATGTTGCTCTTCAGCAAAGAAATCAGGGTCTCTACTTGGGTTTGGGTTTTTTTCCCCACCATGTAGCTTGTTCCACATTGCTCAGATCACAGAACTTCATCCAGTGTATGACGCTGTGCTGTGCTCCCAGTGGCTTTCTGCTCATTGTACTGGCATTATACAGTGCTACAAGTTAGTCAAATCCACACCTCCAGTTAAACGTTGTATGCATCCAGATCAGAGATGAGAATAAACCGACTGAAGTCAAGCTTCTTACTTTAGAATAAAATGTGTTCAGATTTTTGCCTCCAAAATTTTCTTTTCTTTAAACATGCATGCGGAGTACAAAAAAGAGAAACTAGAGCTCCCTTGGGAAGTAGCCACAACGGAGGGAGTTTTTTTTCTAACCAAACTGTGTTCCATACCCCTCCTTTAAGCTGGTTTGTACTGAAACTTCTTTCTTCTGTTCTGCAGATGTTTATTTTTGGTGATTTTCCCAACAATGTGATTTACTCTTGTAGGTTCACAAGAACGCCAAGATAAACTACGAGACATGGGAATAGTAGATATTCTACATAAATTGAGTCAGTCGTCAGATCCAAATCTGTGTGACAAGTGAGTATAAAGAAAAATCTAAAAAGAAGATTAGAGGGAAATTGCAGTTATCCCACCTACAGTTAGTAACAACCCATATTTCTTTCATGAACTAAAGATGATCTGATTTTTGGAAGAGATCATACACAGACAACACAACTCAAAACTGTGCAGTGTTTTAAAATGCATTAAATTTGGGGTTTGTGTTTTTATGAAAGATATTCCAGTGTTCTTAAACATCTTGGTAGTAAAGTTAAGACTTCTCTGTTTAAAATCTATGCCAGAGTATCAGTATTGAAGGTGATAATCAGGAACATATAGACATCAATAAGCAGGCTCAGAAAACTATAGAAAAACTAAATAGGGTTTTCAACCAGTGAGAAATAGGAATAAAGCTTAGACCAGTAAAAGTACTTTGTAGTAAATGTGCCTTGCTTGTCAACACTTAAGCCTTGGTTTTAATCAGGGAGCTGATTGTGCTTAGTGCTGTTGCAAGTCACTGTCCCCCCTGTTTCTTCTGGCCACCTCCTCCCACTGTTTACCCTATCCCAACTCTGCCTCTCAGCCCCCTCAGTGAGCTGATACGACTTGTGAACGTAGCAGGAAACTTGGAAGAAAAAAATACATAAACTTCCTTTGGGTTGCGGGAGTTGTATCAGATCTTGGAAAAGTCTGTCAAGGTGGTGATAGCGTGGTTGGGAGGTGTGGGGGACGGAAGAAGAGCAAAGCTGCTCACTTCAGGTGGTAGGAAACACTGAATTAGTCAAAGTGATGATGAAACTGTAACCCTAAACTTCTGAGAGGTGTTTCTTTTCTCAACAAAAATGTTGCACAATGTTAGATTAAACTCCAGTATTATGCTGGCTGTTGCTTCTTTTCTCCATCTGACCTTGTTGTGTGTTTTTGGTAGGGCTGATATTCCTGACAGGACTAACATGCTTTTAGTATGTTCTGAGTTATGACACGTCTTTCATTTCTCAGCTCAAAGACCTGCTTTTCATGGGACATCTGTATTACAGAAAAGTAATTGCTCTTCGCAATTGTTGCTCCTAGGGGTTTTTTACAAGGTGTGTTGATAACGAGGTTCAATATACATCTTAGGCTTCACCATACTTGAAAGTTGCTCAGTTTATGCTGAGCATCTAATATACTCGGTTAGATAATCTTATTCTTAGACGCAAGGTGGATTCTTAAATTATTATGGCCCACGCAGAGCACTCCTGCACGGTGGGCTAGATTCTGCCAAACTGAAGGAGCCAGCCGCTCGGCTTCCTTGTACCTCACTTGTTCACCATCCCTCTCTTGCTGGCACAACGCATAGTCTTGTACATAAAGCTGTTGATGATAAAGCCAAACCCCAATAATTCACGGGTTGTTCCTTTCTTGCAGGGCGAAGACAGCACTCCAGCAGTATCTTGCATGATCAAAGACTAATTGAATCTATGGACACCCCTCATGTCTACTAAAGGAAGAGCAGGAGATATTCCTGACTCCTTATATTTGCACAAGTCACCTTGGGCTGCATTTTTCTCAGGTGCAGGGAGCTGCTTTGCAGAAACAGTTTAAATGATCAGGTCTCCAGTGCACTTGAGAATTTTCTTGAGGTAGTTTCTTTACTCAGAGGACTCTTGGGGGGTTGTTTTGGTTTTTTGGGTTTTTTTTCCTGAGCTACCTGGACTTTCGGATAGAACAATCAGTCATCATTTTCCTTTTGGGCCTACAATTTTCTGCTTTTGCTGCAGCCTGTGTGTGTGGGTGTGTGTGGGTGTGCTCGAGTGTGTGTGTGTGCTTGGGCGGATGTGTGTGGGTGTGATACCTCAATTTTGGTTTTCCTTTTTTTTGTGTGAAAATCTTTTTCTACAGGTTTTCAAGGGTTAACCATTGTTTGCTGTACGAATACTTCAATGAATTATATACAGTTTGAATGAAATGTTATTTAAAAAAAAAACAAACTGTTGTATCCCATAAAGTTTATTTTGAATTTTGAACAGATGAATGTTTTTAAGTAAAATATATGCATTTCTGAACTTCAGCTTAACTTACATTATACTTCCTTTTTAAAGAGAAAAACAGAGGGAGACTGTAGACCCCAAGTTATAAGCAGCGCATTCTGTACTGACAAGGTCCAAAAGTTTTTTACCGCCATACAAGGTCACCTGGTACTGATGACGTGCTCAAATCCATGGAATGGGTCAACTGGCTTGTTTTGGGTTTCTTTACGCTCATACTTCAGAGTTAGCATGACGGTTGACTTTTCTGGAAAGGAACAGGTGGCTGCAATATCAGCAGGCATAAGCTATTGCTTTAGTAGCCAAGAATTTGCTCAGATAATTGCTGAAGTATGCTTATTTCACCAGTAATAAGTATTTGCTGATCACTAATATCAATAGAGCAAACAGTATGTTGCAGAAGTTAGACTTACAAGAGACCAGAAGGAGCTGGCAAGCAGTGATTAAGGGATTGCTTTTGTTTTGCATCCTTTACATCCAGATATAGTTAAGCGACATACAGATTATTTCCACGAAAGGTCGGCTGGGTGCATTAAGTCAGAGAAGGGATGGAAAAATTGGGGGTTTGGGGTTTTTTAGCTCAGTAATGTTGCTACAGATTTTGTGTATATATGCAGATATACACACTTGCATGAATTTGGATACCTGGATAATAAGCGATGGGATTTTACTGTGTTCAGAAGCCTAGATTGTCCATAAGTTCTTGAAATTGTGCCTGTAAGTGTGGAGAGAAAAAAACAACCAAACGAGTACAAATGAAGAGGACTGTGTAAGGTTAGGCTGGAACATGAGACCCCAGTGGCTTCACAGTCAAATACACGTAGAAACAAATGAGGGCAGCAAGGAGCTCTCCTTTGTGCAGTTCAGGGTTCCTGCTTTCTTCTGTGTCTACTTTCTGATTTCAGTTTAGACCGTAGTTTTAAATAGTCAGAATCTCCAAACACTATATTTACGTAGCACTAACAGGCACACTAAAGATTGCAGCCGATGTCTTAAACCAAATCTTTCATTACATTGAACTTCAGGAAGGCTGCAGCAAGAAGAGAGGTCTGTAACTTTGCTAACCAATTTTGATAAGTATCTTAATCTTTTCTTTCTAATCAGAAGGTCAAATTGTGATAGCCTTACTTTTTTCTAAGGTAACTACTTGTGTCAGAAAATGTGACCACAGTTTGGCCTGGAATTTGAATGTGCTATGTATCAGAGAACTGTTACCACTTGGTTGCAAAGGAGAATTATATACATTTCATGTAACTTCTTCCACTCTTGAAAGACAAATAAAAGTGAGCACCTGACACTTTTTCCCCAGGCATTGCAGTAAGTGACTGGCAGTTTTTAACGTCCTTCTGCAAATTTTTTTTATGATGGACTTTGGGGGCTGAACAAAAGGGAAAGTAAAAATATGTGAGAACTTGATAAGTATCAGTACCTCAGCAGTCAAGTCTTATTTATAAAATTAAATCAAATATATTTTTGCTTGAACTGAGAAAAAAGTTCTGAGGCAGGTATTGTAAATGCAAAACTGTACAGTGTGATCTGACTTCTAAATTTGCACTCCTGCTATGTACATTTAGGAGCTCAAGTTCTTACATATCTCCTCATCCTCCCCCCATTCACACTTCTAAAAGCAAATCTGAGTTTGATTCTATAAAACTTCGGTGCCTAAAGGTGTTCAGAAAAAAAAGGTGAGTGAGTATCTTTGTACATGTTTTGAGATGGTTTCCTAAAATTCTGCCAGAAAAACTAAAAAAAAAAAACCTAAAAAAAAAAAAACCCACCACAATGCTCAGACAATCTTGTTGCTGCATGAGAACAGTTGACATTTTCCACAGGTATTGATAGGACAAACTGTTGGATGAGAACATTTTTACATTCAGTTAAGCTTTGTGAATAATTTTTGATGTTGCTATAGGAATGTACAAAAAGAAGAATACTGTAAATAAAAAGAAATTTACCAGAACATCTAGATTTTTCTCAGCTTCATGGAGATATCTCAGCTTTGTGTGCCAGCTTCTCTGCAGACTGACAGTTGCTAGCCTGAGCTTCACAGCAAGAACAAACTTGTTTGCTGGTAGGCCAGATCTTTACCAACTTTATTTAGGTAGCAGCATTTTGTGAAGTACAGGGTTGCGTGCAGAAGCAAAGCAAGCGTAGAGTTTGTCTGGACATAATACAAATCGTCAGGATTTCTGCCAGTTTTGAGCCATTTCTCTTCTGAAAACCAGTCCTAATGAATTTTGATAAATAGGTCCATTCTTGATATCTGGGTCCAGTGATGGTAGTCCTTCTCTCACAGGTTACTGTGTCAAAAAGTGAATAGTTCTGCATGCAGTTTGGCATGCCAGATGTCAGACAAGCGGTATGCTTGGTTGCTCCCCACCACCTCCTGTCCACGTTTGGAGTTGTCTCTCCCACACAGAAAGTCAAATGAGACTTATAATTTGGCTGTTGTTCCAATCAGATTTGCGTTGTAATGCTAAGTGACCTGCTCAAAAGCATCTTGTGCCAGTATATTTTTAAGGCAAACATCTCGTATCTTCTAAAATTCATTTTTACAGACCTTAGCCATTGCAGTAGATGCTGCATCTCTGTGAAACTGCTGAAGCAGTGACACAGCAGGCAGAAGAATAATCGAGGTGCATGAGATTAGATTGCTGAAGAGTAGAAAATGGGCTTAACAGGACTGTCTTTGGTAATCCTAAAATGTAAGTGCACGATAGGTGTAAACATGCGAAACTTCAGTGGTGGTGCAGATCATCAGGACTTTACTGGAGGCTTGTTTCTACGAAAAAAGACAGTTGCTGGGGACGTCTAGGGATGAGGTTTGCTCTGCTGAGCTGGTGCTGGAGGCAGGGGAGCCCCTGCCAAGGCTCAGCCCCACAGTGTCCCCTCAGGTTGCCAGGGGCACTAGGGGAGTCGAAGCCTTGACCAGCTGGAGCACCAGGCCCCCGGACACCATGTGCCATGTGAAAAGAAGTACCTCTGAGATCTGCACCTGGAGCCCAGTCACCTCAGCCGTGGGAATGGATGGGATGAGCAGCAGCCCTGCCCAAAAGGGCATCACCCTGGGAGGGTGCTGGGCACAGGTGCTGTGTGCTCACTGCAAGTAAGAAATAACCGAACCCAACCAACCTTCAAAAACAGAGCTGCATTTGGAGTGGGGCCAGCAGCTTATCCCCTCTGGTCAGTGCTGGGGAGGTTGTATCTGGATCTTGTGCCTTGTTTTGGGGGCGATGGGGGAAAACTGGAGCCAGGGAGCATGTGGTGGGCTGGGGGGACCTGGGCAGGTTTGGCAGGCAAAGAGGAGGCAGAGAGGCGCCAGCTGCTGCTGCTTGAAGGGGAATAACAGAGAAGATGGAGCTGAACTTCCTGCTGCAGCGGACACTGAGATGGCGGGGGGCGGGGGCGAGCTAGGCTGCTGCTCCGCCCCGATGTTGCCAGGACTGCCGCAGCTGCGTTCAGGTGCTGCCATAGCAGTGTTGGGGTGCTGCCAGCCACCGCACGGGTACTGCCAGGCCCTGGCTTGGGCCGGTTCGCTTCTGCCACCCTCGTGGGGCAATGGGGTACAGGCTCCTGTGTCTCTAAAAGTGAGCGGCGATTCAGGCCCTGCAGCAGCACTTAGCCTCTATGAAAAGGGTGCAAGCGGAGCCGTGTCCAGGCTTTGGGCACTGCTGAGCTAATACCGCTCCCTCCAACAGGACGGAGGCTGCTGTAGGTGGTGTGTCCTGGGTGGAGGAGCAAAAACGAGTAAAAAGCTTTCTCTGTGGTGCAGGTTGGCCAGCAGTTGGATTCACATAATTGGAGGACGTCTGCAGTGCTTTGTGCTTGGGACTGCTGCTCAAAGGACTCTTGTTCCTGCAGAAGGATGGCTGCAAAGAAAAAGGAGGTAGTGTTGCAGGTCAGTAGGAGCCAAGCTTTTAAAATACCTTTTAAACTCATAGTATGTGCAAAGGATGAGGTTCGGTCTTGGGGTATCTCAGATTCTGCTGGCAAAGCCCTACTGTGAGGTCCTTGTGGTGGAAAAGCGTTCCTGAAGGCAGGTAGGAAGCATGGGAAAACAGGGCAAGTCAAATCTGTCCCCCAAAGTCAGTGCTATGGGGTGCAGGAGGGAGGTTGCTACAGTGCCGCAGGTTGCGTTTCAGAGCTGTTAGGAGCTGGCACGGGTTTGACTGCTTTCATAGATCAAAATGTATCTGCATTTCATGGGACAATTGTTCAGGACATTTAGAAGTAGGGAACTGGGGAAAGGGGGGGGGGTTCTCCTGAATGGTAAGTGTCGCTGAATGTTTCTGACCACTTCACGTATTTAGAAAGATTGCTGTAAAGGTGGAAAAGTTAGGAGGTACAAGAAAAATTCAAAGGCTGAAAAACCTACATCACAATGATGAGAAGAAGAATTTTTCCCTATTCCTAGGTCACTGCACAAGTGACTTGACGATGCTTTATAACTTACCTGCATAGGGGAGAGAGGGTTTCTGAGAGCAGTTTAGTAAGCAAACGCATTGAAAAACCCTAAGTAGGTTATGAAGGTCTCCTTCAAATTTTGAAACAATTTCAGTCTTCACAAGAGAGAAATACTGAAGGAGATTATGGGCTCTATAACCTTGTTTATTCACTGTTAAAATCGGAAAGCGTGGAGTGAAAATGTGAACATTTGTGTAAGAGAAAGAGGATCACTTTATTAAGGTAAAAATGGTTTCTACTGCTGCTTATCCAACTGTGCTTCTATGTGATGGGGAAACTCAGATCAACCAGACTTTGCACCTTTGGCAGAGCTGGGTCTAGATCAGCAAAAATGTGATTGTCCACATCTGCAGATGAAAGCTGAACCTCATGTAGGACGTGATGTGATGTCCTAGCAAAGTCCTGGTAATATTAGAGAAAAGCCAAGTCCTGGCAGCTTCAGGGCATCCAAATTAG